TAGTGTCATCAGAAAAGTCTGCATTATTTTGATTTTTTTGATACGATTTTATGTAAATTTGAGTTTAGTTACTGTTTTGAATGATTATATTGATAATTTCGTAAAATAACCAACATTGTTGTTCTTGAGTTCTGTCAAATTTGACGTTTAAGAAAATAAATGTCATTTTTAGTCGTAGATTTATGCTAAAATTTCTATAAATAGCTATCTTAACATTTATCTTTCTGATCAAGCGGTATATAAACAAATAAAAGTTATTATAAAATAAAATACAAGAAATCAATCATATTAAAATATCGTTTTAACTAAATATCTTTGTGGATAACATTTTGCCTCATACTATCCCACACTTTTAACTTTGTTAAATATTCTTGTTTATTTTTGATTGTTTTTTTTATAATCTTCAAATTCTGGGAGTGTCAAAAGTCCCACGTCACGTGGATCAAACTGACGTTTTATTTTCACGTTACGCATACCATTTTTTTATTAGATCAATGCAAATAATAAATGCCAACATATTTTTTAAAGGAATCATTAGTAGATGAATACATTTGTTTATTTTTTTGTGTAGGAGTTTTTTAAATATTACTTGATCATTACTCAGCTTTGATTAATGTTATTATTAATTTGTTAATTATATCATAATTTGATAGTTTTAACATTTGAAATTATATTAGAGAAGCTTTTAGGTATATTTTCTCTAAATATATTGTTTTATTAGGGGTAAATGTACGTTTGACTTATAGGCGAGGTACAAAAAGTACATTTTTACCCCGAATAGAACAAGCTATTTTTTTTCAAACGCCACAAATAATTTTTTAAACAATTTCAAACGTTTCAAATAATATAAAAATATTTAAAAGGTAATCCTGGTATGTAATTATACCGTATGATCGAATAAAAACCGCGTCAGCGATGGCTATGAAATGACGATCGATGACATTCCCCATATAATTTTACATATAAAATGACAGCGATCTTCATTTCATAGCCATCGCTGACGCCGTTTTTATTCGATCATACGGTATATCGAGAAACTATGGTTACGCTCGTTGATTTTTACATTTTATGTCAGTTTAATAATATACAGTGGCGGACAAAAGTATGGAAACATTTTTTATTTTCTATTTTATCTCGCTCAAACACATAATACAGCTTAAATCTTTTCGTATGCTAACAACCGCATAAATATATAAAATATTCACAAGATAATTTTTTTATTCTACCTACATTGTTTATTTTTATCAACATATTTTGTTTACGCTTCGGACAAAAGTATGGAAAGCTTTTTTCTTGTTCATATTTTTGCTGTTGTGATCGATTTGTTTAATTTGATTTTATTGCAAAGGCAAGCAACATATTGTTAAAAATGGGTAAAAATAAGTATTTGTCTGAGGACTTACCCAAGAGAGTTATAGAGTTAAAAAATAGAGGTGTTAAACAGTGTACAATTGCCAAATCATTTATGATTTCAGAAGGAGCAGTTTCGAAAATTTTAATAAAACTATCGAACATTGGGAGCTACAACTAACCGGCCAAAATCGGGGCGTCCCCGAAAAACTACCCGTTTTATAGAAAAATACATTAAAAAGATTCCTCTAGCAGACCCACACAAATCTGCGCGGCAAATAAAAGAGGAAATATGTGACAATTCCAATATCAATGTTACTGATCGCACCGTGAGACGACGCTTGTGTAAGGTAGGACTTCTAGGAAGAGTGGCCGTTAAAAAACCTTTGCTCTCAAAAAGAAATAGGAAGAACAGAATTTGGTTTGCTCCAAACTATTTAAATTGGACATCTCAAAATTGGAACCCAGTGCTCTGGAGTGATGAGAGTAAATTTAAAATATTTGGTTCTGATGGTAGATCATTTGTGAGAAGGCCAGTAGGTAAAAGATTTGATGCAAAGTACCAGAAGCCAACAGTAAAGCATGGTGGTGGTAGTGTTGTGATCTGGGGGTGCTTTTCTCGAGCTGGGGTTGGTCCGCTAGTAAAGATAGAGGGAAAAATGGATCGTTTTATGTACTGGGACATTCTGCAAAATCCCATGTTACCATTTGCCGAAGAAGAGATGCCCCTAATATGGAGATTCCAGCAGGACAATGATCCCAAACACGCCTCACGATTGGTAAAAAATTGGTTTTTGGAGGCAAACGTGGATGTTTTGGAATGGCCTTCTCAGTCGCCAGACTTAAACCCAATTGAACACCTTTGGGGGCATTTAGAAAGGAAAATTCGGTTAAGGGCTATTCACAATGCGACAGATTTGTGGGAGATACTCCAAGATGAATGGCAGAACATTCCTTTGGAAATTTGTCAAAACCTTGTGGATTCCATGCCAAGAAGATGAAAAGCAGTTCTTCAGGCCAAATGTTACGCAACCAAATATTAAATTTTAGGATTTGTTTCTTTATAAAATTTTCTTTCCATACTTTTGTCCATAGTAATTTTTATGTTTTTTAGTAAAAGAAAAATAAGAAATTATTTTTGAAAATTAAAACTAAATATCCATAAATTACAAAACGTTGTTTCATTTAATATATTTAAAATAAGTTTAAAAAGAAAGTTACACAAAATATTTTAGAAAAAAAATCTTTCCATACATATGTCCATCACTGTATATCTTTGTACTTTTGTGTTTAGGCGTAATAGTGCTTTACGCCTAGACGTTAAAATGACTTTTTCATATCGTCAATCACGTCGCAAAAATTAATACTTTTGTGACGTTTGAAAAAAAACATTTTTTTAGAGGAAATCAACTTTTTTTTTATCTGTCATGTATCAAAAAAAATCATTCTTCCTCTGATCACTTAGTTACAGAAAGTTAGCAGTTCATTTTAACTAGTAATAAGCTGAATAATATTCTTTCCCATCATTTTGTTGAACTTTATACAGTTTTTACTGTTATTTTATGCAAAATTAACGTTTGTTATATCGAAACAAGCCATTTTCTTTAATTCATACCGGCATTTAAACCATAAAAATGTCAGAACTGAGCTTTATACATTATGTCTTGCTGTGTTGTTTATTCTTACTGTTATTATTATAGTCGATTTAAATGTTAGAGGCGTATATAAGTCAAAGTCCGTCAAATCACACAATATTTGCTATTTGTTTCTTCAGTGTTTGTTAGAGTGTGAGTAATCGAGGTCAATGAGGTAGCTGAAAGCGTTTTAGCAAAAATTCTCTAAATTTTTAAAAACCAAAGGTGGAAGAGATGAAGCAATTCGTGATTTAAGCTTTATTTAAAACCTCGGAATTAGTGGAATAAAATAGTGGTTTCAATTAACATAGAAGTTATATAATATACATATTAGCAAAATTAGTGGTAGCAATTTTCAATTAGTAGAAAAAAATTAACAAACTTTTAACTACTTTTTCCATTTATTGCGAAAATTCTACTTTTTTCTACTTCTACTTTTATTTACGAAAATTCTAGACATTTTTCATGTTATAATGTTCTATACCTGTCCCCAATTAAAAATTCAGAAGCATTTGAGGATCGCTATGGACATTGTACAGGGTGTTCAATTTTCGTGTGTGTGTGAGATATACAGGGTGGTCCGAACTGTATTCCGGAAACTGCGGCAGCATATTCTGCAGATAAGAATAAGTAAAAAGTTCGTATAAATGTACGTCCTAAAATGCTTAGTTTCGGAGGTACAGGGTGTAGAAATTTCATCTTTATTTCGATTTTTCCAAATCATTTCTGAAGTAACGTCAATATTTCGATGAAAATTGGTGTTTGGGAGTTTTTTGACGTGAAAAATTTGATTTTGATGTCAGTATGACTCCTATTCGAAGGGGGAGTTACCTAAGTGTGTGTTAGCTGTTTTAAAAAGTAATAACTTTTCGTCTGTACCTGTATAAAACTACTGCGTGAAAAAATATACATTTCAGTGACTTTCAACGCAAAAAATGTCTCTTGGTAAAAATCGTTAGGAGCCACCGTTCTCAAGATATTTAAAAAAGTTTTTACGAAATAAGAAATTTGGGAAATTTTATTTTTTTTATATTAATTATGATTTTTTCTGCGAAAAATGATGATAAGACAATTTCTGTTGAACTTTTGGCACAAACACATTTCAAATTTATGATTTCAGTCTAATAACTATTTAGTCAACATGTTTAATTTACATATGTCAATGATGACAGGTATTGATAATTTCGATTCCAAATATCTCGAGAACCAATACTCGTAGCGATTTTTATCAAGATACCTTTTTTGGGTAAAAAACGTCGTAAATGTATATTTTTTTACTCAGTAGTTTTATACAGGTACGGACGAAAAGTTATTACTCTTCAAACCAGTTAAAAAATATGTAGGTGGCGCCCTCTACAAGTAGGAGTCATATTGACATCAAAATCAAATTTCTCATATCAAAAAACTCCCACACACAAATTTTCATCCAAATATTGACGTTACTTCATAAATTATTTGGAAAAAATCGAGATAAAATTGAAACTTCTACACCCTGTATCTCCGAAACTAAGCATTTTAGGACATACATTTAGACGAACATTTTTACTTATTTTTATCTGCAGGATATACTGCCGAAGTTTCCGGAATACAGTTCGGACCACCCTGTATAACCGAGGGATGTCGAAAAATGCAACATTTTAAAAATCGCCCTGTATTTCAGGAACTAAGGGGTCTATAGAACAAATCTGGGTGTAGCATCTTTGTTTTGTCTACTAATAAACGACAAACGCCAAAAAACATACGAAAATGGGACACCCTGTGCATAAAATATGTTTAGAATTTTGTTTAGAATCCAAATATTTAATAATATACAGGGTGTTGTCTGGCTGATGTGGCATCTGGTCATTTTATTATAAAAACACCTTTCAGCTACCTTTATATCTTCAAAAAAATCCATTCGCCTTGTTAGTTTTAGTGTTTTACTTGTGTTTACTTACTCACTGAGCACTGGCTTTTCAGTCGAGCACAATATTCGTTGTTTTTTATGCTTTTTGTGTTGCTTTTGCCCCGTTCTAGGCAGCGCAGGCTCCATGGACGCCCTCTGGGACCTCCACCCGCACAGGCTCAGCGAGGCTGGCCTCAGCCGTCACTCAGGTACCGAGAATAACCGCCAGGGGAGCTGCGGTCCCGCTAGCTACAACATAACCTCGCTTTTATTCAATTTACGTTGTCTAACCAGTCCATAATAATTTCGATGACTAAAAATCGTTCATTTTACAGTAACAAATGGGATTGTTTTATTATTAGAGACGTGAGAATATTATACAGGGTGAGTCGTAAATAAGTGCAAATATTTTTAGGGGTAGTATATTTCGACCCCAGAAACACGATTATGCGGGGTTTTTTTCGCGCAAAAAAAATGAAAATTTGGGATTTTTTTTTAGTTTTTAGTTAAAAAATATAATTTGTTGATAATATGTCAACATACATAGGTTGTAGATTAAATTTATAAGAAAGAAAATCCAGAAAAAATCCAGTGGTTCCCAAAATTTTAGCAAAAAAACATTTTTTTTTTAATTTCCAAAGTAAAATATCTTGGCTATTTTAGATTTATTTGAAAAATGGTAAAGAGAAAATATATTTCTTTTATCGAGATCTACCAGCCTTGAAAATAGTTGCATGACTCACCCTATATATATAGGCTAAACAGCATTCTATTTCTTATAATGCTATGTAACAATCATTTACAACATTTTTTAGAAATTTTTTTTAAATATATTTCCCATTTTAAATTTCAAGACAAAGTTATTAAAATATTAACTGGATTTTAATTTAATTAGTGTCAATTTATACTAATCATTCTTGGGAAATTTCAAATTTGTCGAATTAAGATACCGTACGATCGAAAAAAACGGTGTCTAGTTGGCTGGGAAATGAGGATCGATGACATTTCTCATATAAATTAACATATAAAATGACAGCGATCTTCATTTCATAGCCATCGCTGGCGCCTTTTTTTTTCGATCATACGGTATTTATTTTCTAGTAATCATTATTTTGCTAGGTTAATTTTTTTAGGTATATGCATGTCCATCATAATATTCAGGAACACTATAATTTAAAAAAATCTATATCATGTAAATATACATCGGAACTTGAATAACAACCTACTTCACATAAACTTGTTTTATTTTAAACATTTCTGAGGACTTCTTTCTGAGTCTTTCCATCATCACAAACTTGGAAAACATGGACTTGGTGGTAATAAAACATAACGTCAAAAATTCAATAATAATTCCTATTCCCAGGGACTAATAAATAATATAATAAACGTACTTCCATAACCGAACTCACTATGATCGATTTTTTCTACTTAACCTCAAATATCTTGTTTGATAGATTCCAGCGTGATTTTGACAGAAGACACGGACAGCTTCATCATTGGCCAGCGAGTATGGGTGGGGGGAAACAAACCAGGACACATCGCTTTCATTGGCGAGACGCAGTTCGCGCCAGGCGAGTGGGCGGGGATAGCTTTAGATGAACCAATCGGTAACGTTTACTCAAGGGCATAGTCAGGACCGTCTCGGCAGTTTCTTTTTCATTTCTAACAATTGACCTTGTACTAAAAATGATCATTTACAGGGACGGTCCTGATAAAGGAGACCGAAAATCAAATAAGAACTACTTAAATTTGATCGTTTTTAGGTAAAAATGATGGATCTGTGGGCGGCATACGATACTTTCAATGCGAGCCTAAAAAAGGCGTATTTTCGAGGTTGACCAGGCTAACTAGGGTTCCTTTGAATCAGGATAATATGGGATCTGGGGATACATTTACTTATTCCAGTCCTGTTAATGGTGGACTCAGAAAAAGTACCCCTAATACCCCATCACCAACTGAGGGTCACAGAAGCAGTGTCAGGACTCCAGTATCAGTTTGTGAGTTCATTATTAATATCATATCAAGTATTCTCTTGAATTGGGTAGGTAGTATGAGGTTCTTAGTCGTGTACTCACCAAAGAAACAATAGCAATACACCAACATATAAGTTAAACTGATTTGATCGGTCCGGATTTAGTTGGCGAACTAGGCTTGGCAAGTACCAAAACTCTAGTAATTGTGGGTAGCCTAATCTGGCTTGCGAGAGACTGAGGCAGATTTTTAGAGAGATTGGGAGAATTTTTAGAGAGACGGAGATATTTTTAGAGTGAAAGACATTTTAGAGATTGAGAGAGCTTTTTAAAGAGACCGAGATATGGTTTAGAGAAAATTTATAGAGAGGGTGATAGAGATTTTTAGAGAGGCAGAGAGAATTTTTAGAGACAGAGAGGTAGCTTTTAAAGAGTCCGAAAGATGTTAGAGACATGTTTAAAGGTGAGAGATTTTTAGAGACAGATTTTAAGAGATACAGAGAGAGTTTTAAAGAGACTGAGCGATTTTTAGAGACTGAGAGGCATTTTTAGAATCAGAGGTTTTTAGAGAGGCTTAGAGAGATTTTTAAAGAGACTGAAAAAGAGAGAATTTTATAGTTTGTTAGATATTTTTAAAGAGACCGAGAAATGTTTAGAGAGAAATTTTTAGAGAGGGTTACAGAGATATTTAGAGAAACTGAGAGAATTTTTAGAGAGACTGAGTAAGAATTTTAGAGACTGAGAGATTTTAAAGAGACTGAAAGATTTTAAAGAGACTGAAAGATATTAGAGAAAGAGAGAGAGAGAGAGAGAGAGAGAGAATTTTCTAAAATTTTCTCTCTCTCAAACTCTTTAAAATTGATATAGAGATTTTTAGAGAGGCAGAGAGAATTTTTAGAGACAGAGAGATAGCTTTTAAAGAGCCCGAAAGATGTTAGAGACATTTTTAAAGGTGAGAGATTTTTGGAGAGACTTAGACAGATTTTAAGAGATACAGAGAGATTTGTAAAGAGACTGAGCGATTTTTAGAGACTGAGAGTCATTTTTAGAATCAGAGATTTTTAGAGAGGCTTAGAGAGATTTTTAAAGAGACTGACAAAGAGAGAATTTTATAGATTGATAGATATTTTTAAAGAGACCGAGAAATGTTTAGAGAGAAATTTTTAGAGAGGGTTACAGAGATATTTAGAGAAACTGAGAGAAAGAATTTTAGAGACTTTAAAGAGACTGAAAGATTTTAAAGAGACTGAAAGATATTAGAGAAAGAGAGAGAGAGAGAGAGAGAGAGAATTTTTCCAAAATTTTCTCTCTCGAAATCTCTGTCTCTAAAAATCTCTTTAAAATTGATATAGAGATTTTTAGAGAGGCAGAGAGAATTTTTAGAGACAGAGAGATAACTTTTAAAGAGCCCGAAAGATGTTAGAGACATTTTTAAAGGTGAGAGATTTTTAGAGAGACTTAGACAGATTTTAAGAGATACAGAGAGATTTTTAAAGAGTCTGAGCGATTTTTAGAGACTGAGAGTCATTTTTAGAATCAGAGGTTTTTAGAGAGGTTTTTCAGAGGGATTTTTAAAGAGACTGAGAAAGAGAATTTTATAGATTGATAGATATTTTAAAGAGACTTAAAGATATCTTAAAGAGACCGAGAAATGTTTAGAGAGGTTTACAGAGATATTTATTTAGAGAAACTGAGAGAATTTTTAGAGAGACAGAGATTTTTAGAGAGACTGAGAGAAAGAATTTTAGAGACTGAGAGATTTTAAAGAGACTGAAAGATTTTAAAGAGACTGAAAGATATTAGAGAGAGAGAGACAGAATTTTTCTAAAATTTTCTCTTAAAATCTCTGTCTCTAAAAATCTCTTTGATAGAGATTTTTACAGAGTTTTAGAGCGATTTTTAGAGACAGAGACAATTTTAGATTCAGAGATTTTTAGAGACTGAGAGAGAGAGAGAATTTTAGAGATTGATAGAGATTTTAAAGAGACCTAGAGATGTTTAGAGAGATTTTTAGAGAGGGTGAGAGATATTTTATGAAGACAGAGATTTTTAGAGAGCCCGAGAGAGAAATGTGTAGAGGGAGTGAGAGAGAGAATTTTAGAGATTGAGAGAAGTTTTTAAAGAGACCGAGATATGTTTAGAGAAAATTTATAGAGAGAGTGACAGATTTTTAGAGAGACAGAGAGAAATAATTTTAGAGATTGAGAGCTTTTAAAGAAACCGAGAGATGTTAGAGAAATTTTTAAAGAGGGTGAGAGAGATTTTCAGAGGGACCTCTGTCTCTAAAAATCTCTCTAAAATTAATAGAGATTTTTACAGTGACATTTTTAGAGACTGAGAGACTTCTTAGAGCGACTTAGAAAGATTTTAGGAACACTGAGAGATTTTTAAAGCGACTGAGAGATTTTTAAAGGGACTGAGAAATTTTTAAAGAGACTCAGAGAGAGAGTAGCTTTCTAGAATTCTCTCTCACTTTAAAAAAATCTGTCTCTAAAAATCTCTCTAACATTGATAAAGATTAATGTTAGAGAGATTTTTTACAGTGACATTTTTAGAGACTGAGAGACGTTTTTAAAGAGACTTAGAAATATTTTTAGGGACACTGAGAGATTTTTAAAGCGACTGAGAGATTTTTAAAGACTTAGAGATTTTTAAAGAGACTGAGAGATTTTTAAAGAGACTGAGAGATTTTTAAAGAGATTGAGGGAGTAACAAAACTAACAGAGTCAAAGAGATTTTTAGAAACTGAGAGACATTTTAGAGAAATTGATAGGGATTTTTAAAGAGACCGATAGATATTTAGGGAGAGATTTTTACAGAGACTGAAAGGTTTTTAGAGAAACTGAAAGACATTTTTAGAGACTGAGAGAGAGAGTTTTACAAAGACCGAAATTTTGACATTTTGAGGGAAATATTTTTAGAGAAATCCAGAGAACGGTTTTTAGAGAGACGGAGTGAGATTTTTATAAAGGCTGACATATTTTTAGAGAGATTGATATTTTTAGAGAGAACGATAGAATGGTATTATTAGTTAGAAGTTTCAACTTCACTCTTAAAATATTACTTATAATTCAAGAGAATATTGGTAATCATGAATTTTACAGTTTTAAAAGAGATAAAACTAAAATGTGTCACTTTTTAGCTGGTTCCAACACGAGCTTGTCCACAGTTCACATAGATTACAAAATCGGAGACAGGGTAATCATCAAGAGCAGCCAAGGCTCCAAGGTGGGCTACGTCAGGTACATGGGTGCTACTGAATTCGCTCCCGGTGAATGGGTGGGTGTGGAACTGGACGAACCCAGAGGAAAAAACGACGGTTCCGTCAATGGAAAAAGGTGGTTTTTAATCCGATTACAACTTGCACACCCTTAACCTTAAAATTCTTCTAGATATTTCGATTGTCAACCGAACTTTGGCCTTTTCGCGCCAATATCCAAGGTCAGTAAGTCCCCGTCCAAGGTCAAACCCAGCCAGTGCCAAGTACACTCGCCAGGGGGCGTAGGCTTACCGCCCAGTGGCTTGAAACGGGCTAATTCTAAGGAATCTATGGCGTCGAATCTTTCGATGATGAGTTCTGCATCTGCTGCAGCACGCAGGGTAAGATTGGGAGTGACGTCACTGTCTCCAAAGGTAGGTTGGATGGTGTTTGATTTTTATTTTTTATAGAGAAATAACAGAGCAGGCATAACTGTCAAAATAAAGAGTCCTTTTCTTTTTCAGTCAGTATTGTCGACTCGACTGAAAAAAAACTTATTTAAACTATTGTTTTGTTGTTATGTCTGGTCTATAATTTTACTCTTTTCTTCTTTTACAACCTTTCAACAAATTAGTAAATACACCAACCAACCAGGTAAAATATTGTTTACGTTCTAAAAAGGCATGAGTTTGTAGTATTAATTTATTTGGATTTTTTTTTTAATTTTTCTGTATTATTAACTCTAATTTTTTAATATAAATGTCTTAAAAAAGCTTCTAAAATAAAAATAGTTTTTGGTTTTTGTGTAACAAAATTTAGTAATCTTGAACCATTTTAAGGTATAATATAATTAATTTTAAATAATAAATAAATTATTAAACCCAAAAAACTTAACCATTAATACTAAAATAAATAAATTTTTATTTCATTTATTAATTTAAACTTTAGTTGGTTTGTGTTGTGTTATTTTTATTATTGTATACGTTAGAATTGTTTTTATTTTTACAAAATACTAACCACAGCATGTTTTGGATTGTGTTTTATTAGAAATTACCCTCAAAACCCAGCGCCGCCACTGTACCCACGAGAACAGCACTTCAGGTAACTTATTGAAATACATCCGCAACCCTGGCAACACCGCAAGCTTTATTTCTGGCTTCCCCTTCATAACCTGTTGAATTTCGTAGATTTTAGTGGGTATTTTTGCCCCCTTTTTACACCTACGCCTATGGCTATTACTAATTTTTCATATATTTAATCCTTAATAAATTTATGAAAAATGCAAATTTATTTTAACCAAAATAATCTAAATATGGAAGATGGATAAAAAATAATATTGATTAATTTTTGTATGCATTAATCAACTGAAATGTCAATAGATTATTACAAAAAAAACAATAATTTAAATCCGAAATATTAATAATAAAAAAACAATGACAAATATGTTTGTTTATTTGATGAGATTATGACTGAAAAAACTTGTTAGTTATAAATCTGTGGCATTGATATGGGATTAGTCTCTTTTATTTACAAAACAAGCATTGCCATAGGCGTAGGTTGAAGGAAAGAATAAGGTAAAATAAGAATTAACAGTAGGTTTTAACTTAACTGATTTAGATTTAGAGTAACTTTATATTTTGTTTAAGAATGATTTAACTGTTGTACTGTTTACATGGATTAATAAAATGTTTTTATCTTGTTGTGTTTGTTTTGTTGTTTGTCTCGTTTATTTTGTTTGAGTAACATGCTGTAGTATAATTACTATTTTATACCTTGATTGTGCCTGCTTTTATAAACTTAGTATTGTTGTAAAATATCATAAAAGGAAATTTGTAATAAAATTGTTAGAATTTATTTTTGTTCATTCTAAAAGTATGGGATGAAATAAAAACATTTATAATATTTAACAAAATTGTGAAAACTAACGAACTATCCTAAATTTTGGTGCAACAATATAGGATTGTTTCTAAGCCAAAAAAAAATATTAAAATCATATGGTGATAAAATGCTCTAGCTCAAGGTATGTTAATAAAGAATATAAAAAATAAATATTGGTTATTATCTTTAAGAGTTCTTGAAAAAAACGTGTAAAAAATATACCGGGTGTTCCTCAAAAATGTGGCTCAACACTATAACTTTTCTATTTTTACAGATAAAAATACGAGATTTGGTATGTTAGTACCTATATGACTTAAATTAGGATTGATTGACGTATTCAGTTGTTTCACTTCCTGTTTCGCCGGAAGTGACTACAACTTTTGATTTTTAAATGACACCATCGGTATTTTTTACTTTATTTGATAGAAAATGACACTCTGAATAGAACGAACTAAATTTAAAAAAAAATCGCATTTTAAATTTCAATCTAGATTGCCATGGCTGTATTAAAAACACTAATTTTTAATCAAGAAGCCTTGGAAAATAGATTTGATCGTCCAATGTTTTTCGTGTCTTGTCCTGGCCGGTTAAAAGATGCCCAAAAATCGTATATTTAATCATATCTCAATTTTTTTTAAATGAAATATGAGGGTGGCTCATTAACATATTTGGAAAAAGCATTTATTACGAATAATTTGGTACCACACGTGGTATTTCGAGTCAAATTGTCGTTGTTGAACCGGATGTTACAATTTCAAATAAACCATATGCGAAAATGTCAATAGTTGACATATGATATGTCATTCTATTCAGGGTGCCATTTAAAAATCAAAAGTTGTAGTCATTTCCGGTAAAACAGGAAGTGATCGAAAGCAATTGAATACGTCAACAATCTTGATTTAAGTCTATACTAAGGTACAAAATCTCGTTTTTTATCAGAAAAAATAAAAAAATTATAGGGGTGAGCCACTTTTGAGACGCACCCGGTATACTAAAAATACCTAATCGAAAAATAATCAAATAACAAAATATCAAATCTACGGACTAAAAATATAAACGAATTGAAAAAAAAATCTAGAAAACAATGAACGAGCATACATAGGTTCAGCAGGGTCCGATTTCGCTCAGGTCAGGCTAACGGCCTGCACAGACGGCCTGAGCGTCTGTGGGGGCCTTTAGAGAGTGGTAATACCAATTAAAAAAATATCTAGAGAGCTGCGTCAATAGAAACTTCTAAATGTACACCTAAAATTTTGTAATTGAAAAAAAAAGAACAAATAATAATCTAGTACTGTACTCGGTTAGGTACCTGTTTAAAACTATCATATTATGATTAAAAAAAACGGTGTCAAAGACGGCTGGGAAATGACGATGGATGATAATTTTGGCGAGGTCAAGCCCTAGACGCCATTACTTGGCCCGTACTCTTCTTTGTTGTTCAATGGCGCTTACTGTCAGTTGGCATTAAGAAGGTTCTTATTTATTTTTATATTGAGTAAAAATGATTTTTAAAAGGCGTAGTTTAAAATTCGACAAAAAATGTCAATTTTTAGTAATTGACGTCTTGAGATTGACCTCTCCAAAATTATCATCGATTGTCATTCCCTAGCTGTCTATGACGACGTTTTTTTTCGATCGGACGGCACTACCATGAACAAAACTAACCTTAGCATTTCCTAAAAACACCAAAGAATCATTTTTACTACAAACAGATGTTCAGTACTCAGAAAAAATATACTTTCAAATACTGTCTAAAGCTGATGCGGTGTTGCCACTTCGTGCTTGTTTTCCCACTGTTCTAAGAATATATATTTCGCATCTTTAGGACGTGCTGAAAGAGAAACAACAACACATCGAGCAACTGTTAAAGGAACGCGATCTGGAAAGAGCCGAAATAACTAAGGCTGCGAGCCAAGCTGACGATGCAGAACACAAGTTGGCTCTTTTGAGACAAGAATACGATAAAGTAAGTGCCAGAACAAGGAAAAATAATATACATTATGTTTACACTTTCTCAGTTGCATGATTGAAACCCCTCAACAGCCATTTGATAATATTCTTCCTTGAATGAGAATCTCCTCCTTTCAATGAGGATATTTTCGCTTGTATGGGAATGTCCCCTCTTGAATGAGAATATTCTCCCTTGTTTGGGAATATAATCTCTTGAATGAGAATATGCTTTCTTGAATGAGAATATTCTTTCTTGAATGAGAGTATTCTCCCTTGAATGAAATATCCTCTCTTCAGGGAGGATATTCTCCCTTGTCCTCAATTGAATGAGAATGTTCTCCCTTGAATGAGAATATCCCCTCTCAAATGATAATACCCTTTTTTAAATCAGGATACCGTTGTATGAGTATGAGAATACTTGTCTACTACATTAATTCTCCCTGGTATGGGAATATTCTCGTTTGAATGAGAATAACCTCGTGAATGAGAATATTCTCCCTCGGATGGGAACTTTCTCTTAAATATGAGAATATTATCGAAAACATTTTTCAACTATTCATGTTTTAAATACTGTACTCTGTTTAAATGGATATTATTTATTAATTTTCTTTATTAATCTTCAACATTTGTTGATAGTATCGTGCAGAATGCGAAGAAACTCTAAAACAACATCTAGATATGCTGAATCAACTGAAGGAAAGCAGAAACGAATTAATAACGCAGCTAGAAGACGAAAAGAAGAAGAACGAAGATTGGCAGTTTAAATTTGAAGAAGCTGAAATAATCAAAGCTGATTTAGAGGTATATAAATCTTTTTCTTTATTTTATTAACAATTATCGGTATGAATATTCTATTGAAACTGTTTACTTCACTTATTCTAGAAACAAATTAAGGAGGAAAATGTAAGTTCCAGAAGTATGCTTGTGTGTGTCATTTGCTTTTGTGCATTTTTTTGTTTTTCTTTTAGTAGTATTTTTTTAATGTGCATTGTTTTGCCTATCTGTACTATTAACAAGTACTTTTATAGGAAGCGAAAGATTCCAGTACTGCAAGAATTAAGGAACTGGAAAGTGTCCTGGCTGCAGAACGGGAAAAAGTGGAAAACTTAGAATCAGAAACAAACAAGTTGTTTGAGGCTGAAGAAAACTTGTCCAGAGCTCAAGAAGAGATTGAAAACTTGAAGAAAAGTTTGGAAGAAGCCAAAAATACTCAGGTAGCGTTGCAAGGAGACAGTGCTACCACTACAGGTATACTAGAACATAAAAATTAGAATTCTATTTCATAATATTTATTTTCAGTTTTGATTAAATCGCTTCAGAATGATCTGGATCAAAGCAAGAAAGATTGCGACGAAAAATCAGAAATGATCAACGTTTTGAAGCAAGAAATAGAAACTTTGACCAATGAACAAGCCAGATTATTTAAGAAACTTGAAGAAACCGACAGCAGAGTATTGGAAAAGGAAGGTATATGTGAAAAGAAGAATGAAGAAATAGAGAATTTAAAGAAAGAGTTAGATAATATAAACAAAATAGTGAATGAACGCAATAAAACCATTGAAACTCTGCAAGCAGAAAGTTTAAATATCGAAGATACATCCCAAAAACAATTACAGCAATTAAAAATGGAACTTAGCTCTAAAATTGTTGACTTAGAAGCTTCAAATGAGAAAATTATAACATACGAGAGTGAACTTACCAACTTAAGAAAAGAACTTGAAATAAACCAAACAAATTTAACCCAAAAATCGCAAGAATTACTTGAATTCCAGAACAACTTAGGAGGTTTAGAATCCAAACTTAGAGCAGAACTGGAACAGACCAGAACAAACTTACAGAACCGCAATCAAGAGTTTGAAAACCTCCAAAAAGAATTAAGCCAAAATCTTACTGAGAAGAATGCAGAAATTGAAAAACTAACAACTCTAAATAAGGAAACTAGTGATAGATTGAATCAACTCACTTCTGAACTTGAAAATACTAAGAAACTATCGGAAGAACAGCAAAATCAACAACTTGAATCTCACAAAAACGAAGTTGAACAGCTTCAAGCAAGTCTTGTTGCAATGGAAAGTCAGCTTGAAGCACTGAAGAATGATTCTGCAAAGATACTTGAAGAAAAGGAAACTGTTATTAAAGAACTTGATCAGAAATTGTCTGATTCTCTTTCCAAGGTTGAAAACTTAACGAAAGAGCTTGAAGTTCTTAAAACTAATTCCGAAAAATCATCTGAAGAACTTCAGACTAAATTACAGCAAGAAATTGATAGGAAGAGTGAAGCTATTGAACAATTAACCAGAGATCTTCAAGAAAAATCAACTCAGCAATCTAAAACGTTGCTAGAACTAGCTGAAATCAAAGCAACAATAGAACTAAAAAATAAATCTTATGAAGAGCTTGATGAGAAATTTAAAAAACTAAAATCAAAGCTAGAGGATGACTTAAAACTTATGAATACCGAGCTCCAAAAGAATGTTGAAGACAATAACGAAAAAGACAATCAAATACATTCTTTACAAACTCAGTTACAAGCTACCAAGTTAGATTTAGAAACAGCAACCACTGACCTCTTGCAATATCAAACAAATTTAAGTGATATTGAAGGAAAATTGAAAAAAGAACGCGACGATCTTCACGAAGCTTTGAAAGAAAAAATGACTGAATATGATAATTTACAAAAGAAATTGTCTGATACTATCACAGACAAAGATAAAGAGTTAGAAGGCTTGAAAAATAATATAAAAGAAAAAACAGATGAAGTGGAGAAAGTAAATCTAAAGATAGAAGAACAAAAAGTATTAATAGAACAAACAAATGTAGAAGTCAGTAACTATAAGAAGCAAATAGTTGAAAGTGCTGAGGAATTATCAAAATTATCTTCAAGACTTCAGGAAAAGGATAATGAAGTTTCTAAATTAACTCAAACAGTAGCAGAACTGCAAAATAGTGATAGTGAAAAAACAAACACTATAACTAATCTTAACCTGGAGATTCAAACTATAAAAGACCAAAATAACAATGATTCTGATACTATTAGCAAACTAAATCAACAAATAAGTGAGCTGAATGAGCTGAAAAACAGCTTGCATAAGAGCAAAGAAGAAACTAAACAGCTTCAAGATCAGTTAGATAATACAAAACAGAAATATGAAGATGAGTTGGATTCTAAAACCAAACAGATTGAAGAAATTCAAGTGAAATTGACCAGTAAAGAATCTGAAATTAAAGAAATAAGTTTAGTATTGGCAGAATCCAAAGAAAAATGTACTGCACTTTCTCAAGAATTGGTTCATTATCAGAACAATTTAAGTGATGTAGAGAGTACATTAAAGCAAGAAAAAGAAACTCTTACAGTTGAACTAAACAGCAAAAATGCTGAGTTAATAAATATCAAAGAAGAGCTTTCAAAATTAATGCAAGATTTAGAAATGAAGAACGCAGAATTCAACGGTATTGTTGAAGAAAATAAATCTACTAAAGCTGAGCTAGATAGTCGTTTAGTTGAATTAGAAAAAGTTAAAGAAGAATTGTCGCAAGTAACGAAAAAGCTTGAGCTAAAATCGAGCGATGAAGAAACTTTAAAACAAATTCACGAAACTTCACAAAGAGAAATTGAATCAAAAGACGTTGAGTTACATAAACTCCAAACCAAGCTCACTGAAGTCGTGAAAGATCTAGAAATACAGTTGAAAGAAGCTCAGAATGCTTTGGCTCAGAAAACTGAGGAGGTTCATTTGAAACAGGATGAGATCGTTTGTATCACAGAAAACCAGAAGAAATTTATAAGTGAGCTGATGGAAGATCATAAAAGCAAGCTGTCTGAACAGAAGAAACAAGTTCAGAGTTTGGAAACTCAAATTACCGGAAAATCTACTGAATTTGATAAAAATGTTGAAGAGTTTAAAAAAATGGAGGAAAATTTGAGAAACAAAACTGATGAAGTTGGTAAACTTAGCCAGGAATTAGAAGCTTCTAAAAAAGCTGTTGAGGAGTCTAGTAAAGTTGTTTCTGAATCTAAAGAGAAAATTGAAGGCTTGGAGAAAGAAAGTAAGGAGTTTAAATTAAAAGTCGAGGAACTGCAGAAAGAACTGTCCAAAATAACTTCAGAAAAAGATCTTTTATCTCAGAAAGTTACCAGTTCCGAGACCGATATCTCCCTTAAAGAAAACGAATTAAAAACATCACTAACTGAAAAAAATACACAGTTACAATCTTTGGAATCACAGCTCAGTAAACTGAAAACTGATAGTGAAGAACAGCTGAAGCGTGAAGCTGAAAAACTGAAGATTTCTGAACAGTCTGAATCGCTGCTGAAGAATTTGATAGCTGAGATGGAGAAAGATTTAGAACAGGTTCCCGCTCTCAAATCTGTCATTACCAAAAGTCAGGAAAATGCCAGTAAAAAGGATCAAGAACTTGCCAGTAAAAATACCGAAATAAGCAAACTTAAAGAACAGCTTGCCAAGGTATATTTGTTTTTAATCTGTAAAAATGTTTCTGTATTGTTTTAATTCTTTTTTAGTTGCAAACTCAAAGTGATGTTCCTGTGAACGGAGCTGTGATCAGTGATAGTGCTGTAAGTATGATAGTTTTTAATAAAAATATGAGGCTGTCAGTTAGGTTATACAGGGTGTTTCAGTAAGAGATTTTTAGTTGCTTATACAAAACGATTTGCTTGAATTTAGGCGACTGCTGAAACAGCCTTGTGTATAATTTTTGCTTGTAAATCTAAATATTTTCGGCTTGTGATTGTTTACTAAAATGGATTTTCTACTTAATAAGTTCAGGTACAATAGCAATTCATCCCTGGGAGGTCTAGAGTCTTTTGTTGTTTAAAAAATGAAGAATAATAATATTAAAAAACTTGGTTATCAACCCGTATTCCCGTAGATTACTTAAGTACCTACAAATTTTGTTAAAAATTAAAGACTAACACGCATTTTTGAACGAAACAAAATAATATTAAGGAAACAAAATAATATTAACTAAAAAACTAGAAAAAGAAATTTTTAGCATATCACAAGCAAATAAAAATTAATTTTTAAAGATTTTTTTGGGAGGTTTAAAAAATATTATTATTGTTTTAAACTTAGTTTGCCAACATTCTGTGAATGTACTGTTTGATCGAAAAAAAAACAGCGTCAAAGGCGACTGGAAAATTACAACTGATGATAATTTTGTTGAGATCGATCTCTAATCTCTAGACGGAATTTATTAAAAATTGACATAAAACTTGTCAGAAATTAACATTATAGAAAAATTAAAAAATGACAAAACGTTTCCAGACCCACAAATCTATTTCCAAAAAAAAATTTTTTTTCCCCAATTTTAAACTACACCATTTAAAAATGATTTTTACTCAATATAAAAATAAGTCACAACCTTCTTAAGGCCAAGTAATGACCTCTAGGGCTTGATCTTGCCAAAATTATGATCAATTATCATTTCCCAGCTCTCTTAGACGACGTTTTTTTCGATTGTATGGTATTATCTTGATTTTTTTTTCGTTTAGAGTAATTCTGTAGTACAAATACTAATGTAGATACATTAAAAATTCCTTGTCTAGTAGAAATAACCAAATTCTGCAGCTTTGCACATTAATTTTGCATGAGGCTTTCTTATTTTCATTAATCCGGCAAAAACTAATACATCACAAACCAATTACAAGCAGCTATTGGAAGAAAAAATCTTTGCCGAGAACCAAGTAGAGTTCTTGAACTCGATCATCGTCGATATGCAGAGGAAAAACGAAGAACAAAAAGCCAGGATAGAAATTCTCGAAATGGGTTACAGCCCGGCAGCAGCAGAAGAGTTAAAACAGTAAAAAAATCATATAAAATAATAAATATAACCTCATTTTTAATTTACTTTGTAGGCTTGGCTTTAATTTAGACAATAGAAGACAACCTGCACCTCGAATGTACTGTGATATATGTGAAGAGTTCGATCTTCACGAAACAGAGGATTGTCCTACTCAAGCATCGGAAGAGCCCCCCAGTAGTGCTCAATTAGGGCACGAAAAGAAGCAAAAACCACCTCCCAGGCCTTATTGTGATATATGCGGAGGTAATTTTATTTAAAAAAAAATAAATTCACGTACCTTATAATATTTATTTTATTTTTTACAGAATTTGGGCATGATACTGTTGATTGTACAGAAGACCAGGAGTTTTAAATACTTACTATTTAATTTATTATTATTTATTCATTGATTAAAATTAGTTTCAATTTGTTTTGTGTGTCTTGTTATTGTATATAATAAATTTATTTTTTATATATCAAAATTGTTTTATTTACTACAAAATACTTAATCCAAACCTTCCTTCTTCTCTTTTATAGCCTCCTAAAAAGAAATAATTAATAGAAAATAACTAAGACGATTTTTTTAATGTTTTATACCTTGAAACGTTCCTCGAACAAGGATAATTCTGAAATCAAATCAGTAATAGCATGCATAAGGGCATCTTGGGGTGAATAATCTGAAGTAGTTTGAATTCTTAACACGAACTTGTGTTCTAAGGGGTGAGGTAGCTTATAACCAGCGAATAGTACATTAGGGTCCTTTAATAATTGACTAAAACAAAATAATTACTATAATTGTAATAATTTAAACTGATTTTTTACGATACTTACTTCCTGATCATGTTTCCCAGTGTGTGATCCTCTTTATTGATGGTAAAAATAGCAGCGTTTGGTACTTTTGTATCTTGTTCTCGGATAATTCTGTAAGAAAGAATATATTTAAGTTTTTTGTTTAAAATTAACTTCTTGATGTTTACTTCTTTTCACCCTCGTAGAGCAGAAACGATTCGAAAGTTGGTGGAGCATTCATTTTGAATTATTGTGTAATTTTATTTGGATAAATTTAAATAAGAAAGAATTTAAGACAAAAACACAAACAATTTATTTTTCTAACCTAAAATTATTTTGTTTGTATATTTGGTTGCCTAAATTTCCTTTAATACAAATATGTATTCTGTGGTCCGAGACAGTTTGTCTCTGCTGTGGTATTTCAAATTTTAAAATAAACCGAATTTAATTTAGAAAATGCAATCACAGAACACACTAAAAATGCAATGTATTGAAGGAAATCGAACAAAATAAATTAAAAGAGTAAAATATAGAAAATAATAAGATTTATTAACATAAAGTACGGTTTATTTATCACTTATTTATATAAAGATCAAAGCATTATTAGTCATTCTTAATTTTAAACTATAAAAAATTAAAATATTTTTTAATTAAAAACAAATGGAAGAACAAGCAATCTATAAGATATAAAGCTATAAGTAAGTCACATTTAATTTCAAAAAAATAGTTAAAGAAATCACTGAATAATACCTTATAAATTATCAATTATCATTTATCTCACTTTTTACAAAACAAAGTCTTTCTTCTGTTAATATTTCTTCAATCTTTTCTTGACAATAAACTGCCTTTCCAGCAGGCATTGCACGAAGTTGACTGGCAATATGCCGCCCATAAATATCAAATTCATCCTGATCTCTATTGGCACTTGCATGAGAAATGTTTCCCAATTTACTTATGGCTTTATCACTGTTTTTATTCTTTAACTCACTTAAGTCTAACTTAAAAGTAACACCATGAGGCTTAGGACTTCCTATGTGATCTGGAGGATCTTTTTCCAAGCAAGAGGATGCTTTACTTTCTTTTTTAATACCTATGTCTTCTGTTTTTCCTATGAAAGAATCTTTAACTTTTTCTTTACTATCTTGGAGGCCCTCCTAAAAAGTCAACCTTACTGTAAACCATGTTAATAGTGAATTTATTTAACAATTGTTTGATATAGGTACAACTTTAGGGTACAACTCGCATAATATTATGATATTCTTTATGTTCAAATATAGGACTCTAAATTACCTACCACATCAATCATTTCTATAGTGGGGTTTGAAAGTAAAAATTCCATATTGGGATCAAGATCTGAATCTTCAAAAACTGCTTCGTTTTCCAGTGATTTTCCCCTGTTTTTTCTCTTGCATTTGTTGCTAAAAAGTAATCCAACTTACTACTCAATAACTGTATAACTCTAAGAGTTACCTATGTATTTGTAAACGACTTTCAGAAGTGTTTTTAAGTTCCGTGTTACATTTAAGACACAAAGCATAATATTTTCGGCGATTGTTTACCAATACACGGATTAACTTAAAATGCAGGTTTTCAAACCCTTTATTTGGTCGTCTACCTCTAATCATTCTATAAAATCACAGTAACCATTAATAGTTCATAAATAAACTACAAAAATTTGAGTAAATTAAAGGATATTTAACAAAAATTCACCAAAATACAAAAAAATAACATTTTTGACTTATTTTTGATGTATCAATTTTAGGTTAAGATAGCCATAAGATAGCCACAGAATAAATAATTTATTGGTCTGGAACTTAGACTATTACGATATCTAGAAGGCTTTTTTCAATAAAATCTTGTAACTATAATTGAAAATGAATATGCGAGGTAATTTGTGGGTATAATAAAAAGTATGTAGTATTTTAATTTATAATTGTATATTTTGTACAGGAAACTGTTATTCTTTTATATATAATTATGAAAAGATTGAAGAGATTTTACTTTGAGTAAAAAAAACTGTTATAAAGTATAACAGTTATTAACCTCATTAAAGTGAAAAGAAAAACAATAATGTTTTGTAAATGAAAATCTAAACAACGTTAATCTAATTTCAACCGCACTTATTAATTACCAATTCATTTCTATGTCAGATTTTCTAGATATTCGATTAATCAGTTATCTATACAACTAGATTGACAAAACTCTCACTTAACTCAATTATCTGTGCATTTTCCAATAAAATAAAAATATATTACACATTTGTATCTTGTATATTAAAGATTTTGTAAAATAATATTTCAGAGCTACTCTACGTTAACTTATTTCTGTGATAAAAATTCTTTCAGTATTTTTACAATTCGGTATCTGGTTAGAATTCATGATCAAAGGTTGTTAAAATTTTTAAAACTGCTGGCGACATCTAGCTGACAGTAGCTGAAACTTTACCACCACCGAATAGAAATCTCAATCGAATAGAGGTAATCTGCTTTATCGTCATTACACGTGTCATAGATGTCATTTTACGTGACCGTCAGCCGTCAGATAAAAATCCCGATTTTTTTTCCAGTTTTCGAGATTTGCCGGATATCGCAGACCTGAAAATATGAAGTGGTAACGCGAACCAAACATAACAAATTCGCCCGAATCCTATCTTATCTCCGTTGCGACGAGATACCCGCCGATACACAGGGGCGTAACGCCGAAAATTCGTGCTCTGCGGTGGTCCTCTCTCGTCCTGCTAACTGGAAATACGAGCGCAGGATAATCAAAAATCGATTTTCGCCCTTTGTCGCCGCATAGGGCCGTCCCTTGACTCGCAGTTTCCGCGATTCGGTCGCGCTTTACGCATCGTCTGTGTGGTGTGGCTTGCTCTGGATCGAAGCAGGCCGTAAAATGGCGGAAGCTTTGGCCGAAGCTACAGGTGTGTCGAACACGAACCCCAATGCCGAAATTGTTAGGGGACAAGCCTTCGAAGTGGGGCCCCGCTACACTAACCTAGCCTACATAGGCGAGGGTGCCTATGGCATGGTCGTGTAAGTACATTTTCATTTTTATATCAGCCCCGTTATAACGTAAACCTGTGCATTTATCCTTTAAATATTTTGGATATGATTTAAGACAGGGTTTCTCAAGTTTATAGCTTCATGTAAACACTGTGTTAAGTTTTTGTTAATTCCGAGCAAGTAGGCTCTGAAATCCGTACTTTGTTGAAAAAAAATATAAGTTTATTTATGTAAGGTTTGTCTTAAGAGAGAATACCTACCCGACAGTGAGAGTTGTCTGTCATATTTATTCACAGGCAAATTGTATCTTTAACGGGAAATTAAAGGCAGTTGAAAAAGTGTTAAATATACTAATTTGCCTTTGTGGGAAATACTTTGTACTGTTAAGTATACTTTACAAATGACATCAGAATTGGGTTATCCTTTTTTAAAAGAAAACTTTGAGCATTTCATTTACACACACTTTCGTTTTAGCATTATTAAATGCTTAATTTTATTGGTAAAATTAAATATTGTACTTCATATATTGGTACTTTATAACTAATTTACACTTTGCATGTACAATATTAGCATGAGCTAAAGTCTGTCCAATGAATCGGGATAAATTTCGACAGATTACGTTCAAAAAATGACAGAAAATACAATTTACTTATGAATTAAAATGATAGGCACAACCAGTGTTGTCAGAATTGAAGGATTGTTGCCACAAATTTCGTCGATTGAAGGGCTGAAGTATTTTTATCCAAAAAGAAGGCAATATGAAGGTTTCTGGCAGTTTTGCACAATAAAAATTATTAAAATGTGCAGTAGGAGTATTTATTGTATCCACCTGTTGATAAGCGTTTTTAGGGCGTATATTCTGTTAATACATTCCTTCCCAGAGGTTTGTCCAAAGAATCTAGGTTAGGGTATGTTTTTCAGAAGTGATAGTGATACTGTTATTGCAGTTTGGTTTGCATTTTTATTTTATCTGTATGCATACAGATAGGTTGCTTAGTTTGAGTTGTTTATTCAGGTTATTTTTAAGCCCACTTCTGTGCTGTATATTAATTAGAAAATGCATACATTAGAACTATGAAATGCTATAGGTCACTTAACAGATATTATTTTATCAAAATATGTTTTGCCTTAACTTGAGAGCAGGAATTTTGAAAGTAAAACAGTCAAAACATTGTCCTTTGCATTCCATTTATCGTTATAAATATTTTGGATATGATTTAAGACAGAGCAACCATATAGGTTTAAATATATTTTGAACACCCTGTAGCATCTAATTCAAATATCTTTACATATGTATATATGAAAAAGTTATAAATTTTGACGCAGAATCTAATAATATAATATAAAATTGGGTGTTCCCTCTGCTGTTCCATTTAAAACTACCTACATCTGTTAAATCCGCAACATTTTTCTGAAGCACCCTGTATACTCTATAATAATTTTAAAATATCCATCTTAACCTTCCCTGTAACTTTTCCATTTAACAGTTCTTTGTAAATCTCGAAACAAATGAGATAATGGATTCTCTATTCGTTGACTCACCCTGTACATTTTATAAAAATTCTACTTATAATAAATACCGGATGACTCTGCAATGGGTAAATAAGGTCCCCGCAGTGAGAAAATCACCAGGTCCCTGCAGTGGGAAAATAACTAGGTTCACGCAGTAGAAAAATCACCAGTTCCCCGCTGTGGGAAAATCACCAGGACCCCGCAGTGAGAAAATCACCAGGTCCACTCAGTGGGAAAATCACCAGGTCCCTGCAGTAGGAAAATCAGGTCCCCGCAGTGGGAAAATCCCTAGGTCCCCCGCAGTGAGAAAATCACCAGGACGACACAGTGGGAAAATCACTAGGTCCCTGCAGTGGGAAAATAACTATGTTCACGCAGTAGAAAAATCACCAGGTACCGCTGTGGGAAAATCACCAGGTCCACGCAGTGGGAAAATCACCAGGCCCCCCAGGGGGAAAATCACCAGGCCCCCGCAGTGCGAAAATCACCAGGCCCCCTCGGTGGGAAAATCACCAGGTCCCCGCAGTTAGAAAATCACCAGGTCCCTGCAGTGGGAAAATAACTAGGTTCACGCAGTAGAAAAATCACCAGTTCCCCGCTGTGGGAAAATCACCAGGACCCCGCAGTGAGAAAATCACCAGGTCCACTCAGTGGGAAAATCACCAGGACGACACAGTGGGAAAATCACTAGGTCCCTGCAGTGGGAAAATAACTAGGTCCACGCAGTAGAAAAATCACCAGGTACCGCTGTGGGAAAATCACCAGGTCCACGCAGTGGGAAAATCACCAGGCCCCCCAGGGGGAAAATCACCAGGCCCCCGCAGTGGGAAAATCACCAGGCCCCCTCTGTGGGAAAATCACCAGGTCCCCGCAGTTAGAAAATCACCAGGTCCCTGCAGTAGGAAAATCACTAGGTCCCCCTAGTGGGAAAACCACCAGGTCCGCTGAGTGGGTAAATCTCCAGGTCCCTGCAGTAGGAAAATCACTAGGTCCCCCGCAGTGAGAAAATCACCAGGTCCCCACAGTGGGTTAAATCACCAGGCCCCTGCAGTGGAAAAAATGCTAGGTCCACGCAGTGGAGAAATCACCAGGACCCCGCAGTGGGAAAATCACCAGGTCCCCGCAGTGAGAAAATTACCAGGTCCCCACAGTGGGAAAATCACCAGGTGCCTGCAGTGGGAAAATAACTAGGTCCACGCAGTAGGAAAACCACCAGGTCCACTCAGTAGGAAAATCTCCAGGTCCCTGCAGTGGGAAAATCACCAGGTCCCCGCGGTGAGAAAATTACCAGGTCCCCACAGTGGGAAAATCACCAGGTCCCTGCAGTGGGAAAATAACTAGGTCCACGCAGTGAAAAAATCACCAGGTCCCCGCTGTGGAAAAATCACCAGGTTCCTGCAGTGGGAAAATAACTAGGTCCACGCAGTGAAAAAATCACCAGGTCCCTACAGAGGGAAAATTACCAGGTCCCCTAACCAACTACAACCAAACCAACTTCTTTGATATCATCTTACAAAATATGCCTATTTTTATTGAATCTAAAGAAAAGACGAATTAATAATAAAAAAAGACAGGATATTTATTTGATACAATTATATTTTACTATAACAGGATAAACAATAATATTTATAAATATTATTTAATGCTTTTAGTAATGCATAATATGTATTAATCTATAATTTCACATCAGCATACTTATGTAAGTATCAGAACTAATATCAATTATTCTATTTATCTTTAAGTAGTGGAAATTCATAAAAATAAATTATCTAAATGCAGAAAACAAGCTTTACCGATTTTTATCTTATTATCAAAAACTAAAAACCAATGCTAAAACCCTTTTAAAATTTCTATTTTTTTTTTTCAAAAATTGAAATTGAATGAAATGAATAAACTAAAATTCTGAGATTAACTTGATTATCTATGGGTACCTATATGAGATTAAATTTATTAAAAATTAGAACAGATTGTTAATAATTTGTTGTGGTTAAATTATTAAAATAATGATAAATCTTGTATCATGTTTGCATAAATATTTTTCTATTTTTAGCGTAAAAAGTAACTGTTACTCTTATCTGTAATGAAGTTTACATAATTTAAGATTAAAATTACTGTTGCCATCCATATCCAAACCATTTTTAATAATGTGTTATTGGCATAATTAATATACTATTACTCGAAAAAAAAATTATATGTATAATAGTAATTAGTAATATAATTTCGTTTTGATTTTTTGACAGATTTTTTAAAACTTAATAACTAATAAAATACCATGTTTATAAATATTTGCCAAATAAATTACTTTCAATATTTTGGGCCCGTTTTTACGATTTTCCTGAGGTCCAATTTATGCTGTATTGACGTAGAATCACCCTGTATATTTGATATAATACTGGCATGTTTATTACGTGATTTGGAGTGGTTTGTTTGTAAATATTTTTACGATTCATATCATAGCGAGAAAAAATACCTACCCGTCTCCATTATAGCGAGATTTTAGCTGTTGGTTTTTTCTATTAAAATCAAACCCACGCAAAAACATAACTGGAATATACAACTATACATAGTTATTAAACGGTATATAGAATCAAGTTTTACTAGTTTTGACAGGACAGTAACATCATCGACTTTTTGATAATTTGTCTAATAATTATGTTGTATTATTTCGATTTTGACTCTATACAGTGTGATCAAGATATAAAAATGACAGTATAGTCTAAAAAATATAACTTTCTAAAAATACATGTGACTCATTATGAACTAAGCTCTGTCCATTGAGTCAGGGTCAAGAATGTCAAGATTTCGACGGACGAGATCCAAAAAATGACAGAAAATAAAATTCAGAATTAATTCAAACACACGTGTTTTGATTAAGGCTTGATTAAAGATTTGCAGAGCTTTAGCATTTGCCATAAAATAGCGACCAATTTGTCACAAAACTATATAAATTATATATCACTGTAATCACAAAACTTCAATCTATTTCCGTATTGTAACGGGATTTTAAATTAGTCTTTATTTTCGAGAAAATTTAGTCCAAACATAACGAATATTTTGTTGATGTTTGATCATCAAAATCTTAAAAATAATGAAGTTGTGTAAAATGTGCTACAATACGGATATAGTATAATTTTTTATTTTTAATTTCCTTCTTCATTTGTGGTAAAAATACCTAGCCAGTTTTACGTAAAATATACAGGGTGGGTGTGAAGATATAAAATAAATTGTTTTTTTTTTGGTTTCAGATCGGCGAAGGACACGCTGACCAAAACGAAAGTGGCCATAAAGAAAATATCACCCTTCGAACATCAAACCTACTGTCAGCGAACGCTCAGAGAGATCAAAATTCTCACAAGGTTCAAACATGAAAATGTAAGAATTGTTTTTATAAAGCAAAGAGCAGTTTTAACATTGCAATTTAAAACAAAACTCTATCGATAAAACCGTAATTTAAAACTAATTTTCTCAAAACCACCTGACTTGTGTCAGATTTCTCCTTTTTTCAACAGCATGAGCCCCATATACCGGATGTTCACTCTGTTGATCATTCGTCCGCTTTAAAATATCAATATCGTCTCAATTTTCTGCGTTTAAATTTACGAAAAAACTGTATTTACTTAATACAATTTTTGAAAATGGCGTTTGAAGATATTTTTGTACTCTAATCAATGAAATTGTATTATTTCAGATAATAGACATTAGAGATATACTTAGGGCGGTCACCATCGATCAAATGAAGGACGTTTATATCGTACAGTGTCTTATGGAAACAGATCTCTACAAGCTTTTGAAAACACAGGTACGTAATGATAAAAAATTACATATAGTTTGTACAAGGATCGTCCGACGTGACGTCATCGACCCATCGTCGAGCGGGACATAGGAAATCCCATGTAAATTTTAATGGGGTCAATTATTGGCTTTCCTAATTATTTTAGAGAATAATTCTATTTAGGTTTATTGAAGAGCACTAAAACCCACATTTCAAAAGAATAACTTGAGATATTTTTGATTAGCCCGTTTACGAGTTATCGCCGATTTCTTTTTAAATATTTCTCCTTTCTTATGGCCCTGTATTTACTTATGAGCACCAGTCAAGGTAAAAGATAACTGTCAAATGAAGTTGTCATTTCAGAAATTTATCTATTTGTGCTTTATTATTATTATTAAAAACTCATACCTACATCGAAAATATTAACCATGAATTACACTACCGAAGAAAAAGTATTGATGATTAAATGTTATTATCAGGGAAATAGTTTCTACAATCGCAAGGAATATCCAGAGATTTGAGACCAAAGGTACCCTAATAAATAATTGCCGATGTGAAGCAAGGCAGGAACAAAGAGAAGATACAAGAAATGATACGACTTGGAAGTTTTATTGTGCGTGGAAGAGAATGATGGAAAGATCAGCACAAGGAAACTTGAGGATGAAATAGGAATAGATCACACTACAGCGTTTCGAATTTTGAAATGACATAAATACTATTCCTTCAAATATGAAATGGACCAAGAGCTATGAGATGGGGACGAAATACGGCGGCAGGCGTTTTGTTTTGATATGATGGAAAGAGCAAACACGGATAGGGAATTTTTAAAAAACATATGTTTCACTGACGAATGCATGTTTACCTTAAATAATGAACCCAATGTTCAAAATGATCGATATTGGAACAAAGAAAACCGACACGGGTTTGTCGAAACAAGGACGCAATATCCACAGAAAGTAAATGTTTGGGCAGGGCGAAATTTAAATGCAGAATATTATTTGGAACTACTCGAAAATCATATTTTTCCTGCTTTACATGATGCCGCTAGGGAAAATCAGGAAGTTTGGTACCAAATGGATGGCCACCCGGCACATAGTACCCTAGCTGTTCGGGAATATTTATAAAATAATTTTAACAGAAACGTTATTGGCCTAAATCATACAGTAAATTGGCCAGCAAGGTCTCCTGATATTTCGCCAAATGATTTCTTTCTCTGGGGCCATTTAAAAAACAGGATATTCAAGGATAAAAAATACCCAAATCTAGACGAGTTAAAAAATGCTATTTCTGCTGAATGCAATAGAATTTCAGTTTACCAACTAGCGAATATAAGAAGAGAATTTTATGATCGCCTGGGTTATTGTCTAGCAGTCGATGGAGGAATATTTGAACATCTTAAATCCTAAAGTTCTAACAATTTAATAGTACCTAAATTAATAAGTTATTGAATATTGTAATAATACTATAATTAACCTTGTAATTGATTACTTTATTTTACTTTAATTCATATTAATTTGTATTTATAAATACATCTTTAAGATTTCCGATGTAGGAATGAGTTTTTAATAATAATAAAGCACTAAATAGGTAAATTTCTGAAATTACAACTTCATTTTACAGTTTTTTTTTATCTTGACTGGTGCTCATAAGTAAATACAGGGACATAAGAAAGGAGAAATATTTAAAAAGAAATCGGCGATAACTCGTAAACGAGCGAATCAAAAATATCTAAAGTTATTCTTTTGAATGTGGGTTTTAGTGCTCTTTGATAAACCTAAATAGAATTATTCTCTAAAATAATTAGGGAAGCCAATAATTGACCCCATTAAAATTTACATGGGATTTCCTATGTCCCGTCCGACGATGCAACACCCCGTATAGTGAAATCAATAAAAGTTAGCACGTATCTACACGTCATGAAAGACGTCGAGATTGTTACCAAATTATTTCTAATAAATAAAAATTCCTTTGAAACTTAGAGCTTTTTTTTTACTTTTTTCTTTCTTATCATCTTATATCCCGGTTAAAAAAAACAGCACGCTGTCGCATCAAGCAAACGAATTTATTACTAATATTTTTCTTCATAATTTTCATTTTACTTTAAGTTTTTCTTTTCTGTTTTTGCAGAGGTTGAGTAACGATCACATTTGTTATTTCCTTTACCAAATTCTGCGAGGTTTGAAGTACATCCACTCGGCGAACGTGTTGCACAGGGACCTGAAACCGAGCAATTTGTTGTTAAACACCAATTGTGACCTCAAAGTAAGTAATTTTTTAGCGCCATACTAGGATAGGTTTTTTTTTTAAAATAGATTTTTCATAAAATCTACATGTTTTCTTATGTTGATTTTTTTTATTTAGATTTGTGATTTTGGATTGGCAAGAGTTGCAGATCCTGATCACGACCACACAGGGTTTCTGACTGAATACGTTGCTACCAGGTGGTACAGAGCTCCAGAAATCATGCTCAATTCAAAGGTAATTCATAATTGAAGCAGGAAAAAACTTTGATACTCTGTCTTAATATCGTTTTATGTGGTTTTATAGAATTATACAACTACAAAAACACCATTTGTTTAGAATAATGCATTCTTTAACACTTTTAAATAAGTTTTAATAAAGAGATGGGTGCATAAATATGACAACGCTGTTGAGTCCCGTGTGCATTTCTGCCTTTTCGGTCTACCAGTGGCGTGCTGTTTTTTATTAAGAATCGTAAAAAATAATTTTAATTTATATTTTGATTTGTTATTTATAAAATATAATGTAATATAATAATTACTTCTCTATTATAGTAATAGTTAATTAGAATTCAAGATGTAAAGACATAAAAAAATCGTGTAGATATAATTTATTTTCAATAATGCTTTTTTGTAATAACCTACTTGAACTTAAATTAGGTACACCACTGCTAAAGATAAAAAATACGTTAAATCACAATTTTGGGCTAGAATAACCCACTTTTTAGCAAACTAAGCACTAGCGAACCGTCTTAGAGATTTAAAATTACTTCAAACAGTTGGTTTGCAAAGAAAAACAGTAAAAATTACTTGAAAAACATAAAAGTTCACAAACACCACGCGGCAACACTGTTAAGCATGGCTTGAATGAATCCATCAAATTTTCTAAATTATTCTTTGTAAAAACCATAGAAACTAACAACCTTCCTGAAGCAGCGTTGCCACAATTACTTCCCGAATAAATTTTAAAACTGAAAATAGTTTTAAAGGTATAATTTATGTATTTTGACTAAAAAAATTACTTACTACTTTTGACTAAAAAAATTACTTACTCTATAGGTACCTATAGTCATTTCTATAGGTACCTATAAAGCATTAATAACAACAATAACATAACAATATAGTCTGTCCAACGAGAAGATCCTTGACTGTGATAGATGTGTCTGTCATTTTAATTTCAAAGTAGTTTATTTTATTTTACAAAGAAATAAGTTGGTACAACTGGAACGCATAGCAGGAAATTAATATATGTATTTAAAATTTGACTGACAAGTAACTTCAAAATATTGTGAAAAAAACTGTTTAAAACTGAAGAAATGTAATCGAGTTATTTTATTTAATAAAAAACGGTATGTGTTAATACAAAACAAACAAAAACAAGACACCACATACCAAAAAATATAAAAAAGAACTATTTCTTACTTTCAAGCTATATGAAACTTCCCGCATTTATCATTATATTTATCAATATAACTTATGTACAAATACAAATTTGTAATATTCCGCAGGAATAAATAAAACAACATAAATAAAACAAGCTATTTTATTAATAATAACACTTACCAAATTTTATACCTCACAGGTTGATTAATTAACTTTAATCTTAATTTTTTTAAACCAGTACCTTTTGACATTATTTTTCTGCAGTACTAAAATCCATTATTTACCTATTGTGTGATGTCGATATTTTACAGCTACTCCAGTTTTTAGTATGTGTTTAGTATGGTCCTTCTACCATATTCGGGATGCACTTATCTACGACGAGATGGTATACGAACTTTATTGATAGTAACAAGATAGTAACTTTATTGGTGTATCTGTATAAGACTTTCTGCCTGGGCAGCGAGTATTAACCATAAGCTGTGCTCTGGGTTCTACAGTTAATTTTCACTCGATTTTTCCTCCACTTGACTTCAAAAGACACAAAACACACGTAATAACACGAATCAAAAAATGCATCATCTTCTAAAACGCTGGTATTTGACAAAAGTTGTCACAAAATTATAACCTATAATTTGGCAAGACTTTGACAAACGTCAAAAATCTAAAGGCGAGTTCATACGCATCGGCGTCCGTTTGTTTTTCATCGTTCCGTCAAACCAATAAAATTGAAATACGATCTATCATTTTGAAATAAACCAATAAAACTGGTTAAAAACAACAAGTGACGACGCATGACGAATTTATATTTAAACCCATCCATAGTTAACTTAAAAATTATTAGAAACTTTTTTTAGTAAAATAAATAGATTGGTATGGGACGTCATCTGCTTTTCTTCTGTCATCGTCTGTCGAAATCTTACCTGAGAAAAAAAACAGAGTATAACAACGTTTTCAAACATAAGCCTTAGATCTATCGCAATCCGGAGAAATTTGGCATCATCGCTTTTGGTTGAAAACGATGTTTTATCGGGATAAAATGTAAAATAAAAAAATAAAATGTTAAAAAAATAGTTTTGTTTCCTTTAAGTTAGATATCTAATTATTTGTGTACTATTTAACGTTTTTTTTCTACAGGGTTATACTAAATCCATAGATATATGGTCGGTGGGTTGTATATTGGCGGAAATGATCGCCAATAGACCCATATTTCCGGGTAAGCACTACCTCGACCAGTTGAACCATATTCTGGGCGTCCTAGGTTCACCGTCCCAGGACGATTTGAACTGTATCATAAATGAAAAGGTACGTAATTTGTTCGTTTTGTTATTAGAAATTATTCGACAAAAATATAGGGAATAGAATATAAATTATCTACACAAATTAGAAAGAGTAAATAAACCCGCGTAAACAAACAAATAGTTGCCTAGCAATGGCGATGGCGACAGCGCTGCCAGATTGTGATGGATTTATGAGATGAAGCTTAACGTAAAATTGACAAACAATATATTTATTATATCATTTTTTAAAGATTTTTACGTTTTATTTTTAATTTATTAATTAATATTTTAGTAATTTATTGATTTATTTGTGTCATAACTTATATACTTATTGCATATTGGCAAAAACTAGTGCATTGTGAAGATTATTCTAAGCGTTAATATGTGTTATTTATTTATTTATTGATGTACATCTTACAACACCACAAGAGGGTACCATTAATGCACGAACTAATAATCACAGAATTAACTAAAAACTAACGTAGAAATAACTTTGAGAGTGGTATAATGTACTTACCAATAAACTTACTTCTATGACTGCAGTCAAGGATAATAAAGGACCTTTATTATCACGTTCTTGTTTAAAATAGTTTATTATGCTCTTTGCTTTGACTGTTTAAATGCTTTGGCGTATTTTTAATATACAAATTTCAAGAAATGCAATACTAAAACTGAAAAATATAGTTCTTAAAAGAACTGTTTGTCGTTAAAAGTATAATTTAAAAAAAAGACTGTGAAAATAGGTAAAAAACAAGAATTACTCACAAAGATTCAACAACACCATATCATACAAAATAATGACTGACATTAGGATAATTGTTAAATAATAAACAACAACGTTGCTGAACACGGTGCAATGTGACCAACGTAGCGATAATAAAATTTGGTTTAATCTAATTTTTGGAGCTTTAATCTAAATAAAATATCTGTTACAATCATTTGCTCTATAAAGTAGCTGCTCGGTATCTTAAATTATACAACAAATTTAAACATTTTTGCCAAAATTTTATTTAGTCAGGTTTATAGGCTTTAAGCTACACGCACACTGGTGCGATCACGGCCTCGATCACGATCACGATCAGGGCAGCGATAACATGAGCGATCATTCCGGCACACACCAACGCGTTCACGTTCACCGCCGTACCTATATGTAGTGAGCTATCCTGTAGGTATACATAGGTACAAATTAAAAATGTGAATTATGTATACCGAAAGAAAAACATTCTGAAATATTTACCTACAATATTTAAACTTAAACAATAAAAATGTATACATATGTACTATCCGATCCAATTGCAACCCTAACTTTGTCTAAAACTTTTTATTTTTAATTCTGTTATTTTTGTAACTTGGATCGGATAAATCATAGAATTTTGTGTATTTTTACAGCCCTAATTAGCTGCTCTGTTAACTCCATTTCTAAATTGCAACAAGAAAAAACACAAAATAACGGAAAATTCCTATCAGTTGGGTCGCGATCACGCGATCAAACTCGACAAGTTGAATCTGATCGCCACCGCAGAATAGAACGCCGCCACACAGTGTAACGAAATCGGGAAATGCGGGACATTAGCCCAAAAAACAAAAAAAATTAATTCATCAAGTTTTTTATATAGATGGATAAAGGACATCCCAGAGCCCCACCATGTGAGATATTTCTTGAGTTGACCTCTTAGTCGGGGAGTTATGGCGGGTTAAAATTATGGTTTCCTTAATTTACCAAACCTGTACAAACATTTCATACAATGAATTTTATTTTTTTCAAAAGTTTCCTTGTGTTGTTCAATTCCAACAATTTTTTCCGTAAAGAGAGGTCTTTTACCAACAGCAAACCTGAAAAAAATGTCCCAATTTTTCTCAAGTCTAGTTTCTACATGTTTATTATGACTTTCAAAAAAACGCTTACATTCGCGCAAGGTTATATAATATACAAAATATCATAGAGTGAACCTTCTAGTATACTGTTACATATAAATTTCATCCACCTAGATCCGAACCTGGAAAAAAAAATTAATTTCTTCGGCAATAATTACGTTTTCCATTGATTTGACCGTAGTTTTTATCCGTAATTTTTTGTGCTATAATTTCTTTATTGAAAAAGATACGCTTGCTATGAACATACTGAATGCTATTTTAGGGGCGAGGAACCATCCTCACATTGGGGTGGGGGACAGTTTACAACAATTCAGAAAATCTCAACATTGGAGAAAAATTACTTAAGAGAATATTTTTCCAAACCGGCAAAATTTTCTTCGATGTATTTAACACTCCACCCAGCATGTTTTATGTAACTGCCTTACATATTATGTTATTTTGGAATAATATACACCCCACATAAATCATCGCATCACTTATTAATTTGGAAAACTGCAAAGTATTCTTAAATTCTCTTGGTTAACAATAATCTCAAAAGTTATTTGCATTAATAGCAACTTGTTAAGGAATGGAAAGTATATCATAGTACATCAACTCAGGCAGACCTTAGATTTAAGTTTTTCACATAAAAATGTTTGAAGCGTTTCAAGAATAAATACTAAGAAAAATATAAGTGTTGCGAAATTTTTTGTGAGGTGTGTATTATGGTTTCCTTTGTTGAAGTTGAATACGGTTTTTTCGCATATTATCATATTATTTAATACTGTTAAATGATATTTGCCACTTGTGTCGTTCTCTTTGAGTTTTGCAGTCTTATCTAATTTATCCCTCATTATTTGAATATTTAGGAATGTTGATTGAGTTTTGACATATTAGCGGGAGATAAATGATTGTTCGACAGTAATTTGATAACGTTTTTGGCCCATAAGAGTTATAAACTCTTCGTAAATAAAAAAATATACCTGTAAAGTCCTTTTATAAAACTTCGTATATTTTTTGACCTTCCATTACGCCTTTTTTTACTCTTTTCGCCCTGTAGCAAAAATTCCTAGTTGTATTATTTAATTTCTGTCAAAAAATGTCAGCAAGAATAGTGATAACTGAAGAAAAATGCCGATGTCCCACTATTTTAGTTTTCGTTACACAGTGCGCCAGGCCGCTTCATCTCCAAAACTCGATCGCGCCAATGTGAAACGTCCGCTGCCGCGCGGTGATCGTGATCGCGCCAGTGTGCATACAGCTTTAGTGTCAATTTCGATATGATTCATGACGTGCATCGGAAAATGTTTTGCGGTTACCGTAGGTTCGCTATCACTGCTATAACAGATGTTTACTTAAAAATTTTCTTAGGCGCGAAGCTACTTACAATCCCTACCTTACAAGCCCAAAGTACCTTGGGCCAAACTGTATCCGCATGCCGATCCTAAGGCTCTGGATTTGCTGGACAAGATGCTCACGTTCAATCCTCACAGACGGATAGTAGTAGAGGAAGCTTTGGCACATCCTTACCTGGAACAGTATTACGAACCCACTGATGAGGTGAGTATTCTTTGTTCAGCGCATAGATTAAAGAAATAAATTTAGACTGGAATGCTCGGCGTTCTTATGGACAAATTCCAATCCAAACTTGTTTCGTTTATCTATAAACAGTATTGACTTATAATACGAAGTATGTTTATAAGAAAATCAACAAAATGTCTTTATTCCATGTTCAGCCAGTGGCGGAACAACCGTTTAGGTTCGACACAGAACTGGATGATCTACCCAAAGATCACTTAAAAAGGCTCATCTTCGAAGAGACGCTGCTGTTCAAGCAGAAGCAAATAGATGACCACAGCCAGAACATCAACAACGCCTCATAGTCATTTGAGATCAGCGTGTAAGAATTGAGTTATTTTTTATGAGCTATGTTGGGGTGAGATATAAAAGATGGAGGGTTGTTTTCGATTTTTAAGGCTTCAGAGTTGGTGGAAATTTTTTTTGAAGTGATGTCACAGGGCAAAACAATTCAATTTTTTTCCCTTATTTTCGTTGAAATTTTGTTCGTTATTTCTGTTTTTAAATCTTGCAAAAAGTAGGACAATATATTTAAACAACATTGTATGCCACTTTTTCAAACATGTTCTTCAAATCTTTCAATTAATAAGAAGTTTTACTTCAAAGTCGTTGAACAAAAATACTAATAAAATTATTTTATCAAAAAATATCTTATGAAAAAAATTAACTAGGACAAAAGGTGTTGTGAAAATCGGGTTGATATAGTATTTAATAAAAAAATAAATTTCCTAATAAGAGTGCAATATTCAAATATTTAAACTATACAGATTTTCTATAGAAGAGACTACAATTATGACGTCACAAATGAAAAAAAATCTCCCCAACCTCTAGAACTATTTATACGTTTATCTCCATTTAAAAAAGTTGTGAATTTGAATTATTATTAAAAAGACACTAAAAGAATGTCAAGAAAAATTCATAAAACTGACTGCTTTTCAGTATTTTAGGCACTCGCTGGACGAATTCATTCATTATTAATTAATTATTTATTGTTTATAATTTTTTGTTGAAAATATCGATTCCGCGGTCAATTTCTATTGTATAGCGTTAAATAATTTGTTTATAAAAATGTTCCGTTTTTTTATACGTGCGTCTTAAGTTGTATAAGGGTGTGTTTATATAGGGAATGAATTATTTTTTTGATAACTAAAATTTTTGATGTTCAAACTTATTTCTTGTACACCTCGTATATGTTTTATTAGCTTAAAATTTCGTTAGAAACAATTTTTTCGAGCCTTTATACAGGGTATTATCGCGATAAGGTTAGACACTTTCAGAAATATATAAATTTCTTTTGTAATATATTCCTGGTATAAACGTACTCTTAAAACTTTGTCTACACATAAAGTTTTGCCTGTCAGGTAACGTTGGAAGTTTTGCCTGTAGTTTTATTAATTATAGCATTATGTTTATGTAGTATATTACCGACAAAGCAAAAAGAAAAACTCAACGGAAAAAAATTTCGTTACCTCTAAAATGTTCTTGTTTTTTTCTTTTACACACAAGGTTTTTCTTGATACGTTTTGACTGACAGGTAAAATGCTACGTGTAGACCAAGCTTTATATTAAAATATTTTTCCCTTATATACAGGGTGGCGCACCTCATTCGCCTAGGTTGATTATACGAAAACGTAAAGATGTAGAAACAAAATATTTTATGGGTGTATGTGGGACGGCAATGTGCATAATTTAAAATTATTTTGAAATGTACAGGGTATGTCAGAACTAAGGGTAACCTAACCTATTATAAATTTAATAAAGTTCATAAATTAATGTCGATTTTGAAAATAGCTACAAACTGTCACTAGCAAATTGCCATGGCGACACCAGGCATCTTGATTGCCATTTTATTCAAAAATCGCGTTTTATTCTCTGAGCCAGATAGGTATAGGAAATCCTAATATAGTTTGAAAAAGCACTTAAATCTACTTCAACTTATTGAAAAAAAAATACAGAGTGTTGCATTTGAAATAACGAAGTTTTTATGTAAAATAAATATTTAAAATACACCAGCAGTTTTTAATACCCCTGTATACGTTTAAGGAAGCAAACAAATTTTTTAGTAAAATTTATTTCTCTGGCTTAAAAGTCAGCACAAGAATTAATTCTGAAAAGTAATGTACAGGGTGTTAAGAACCTTTTTTTACTATAGCATGACATGTTTAAATATCTTTAAATATCTCAAAAACCAAAGCTTTGAGACATATTAGTCCCTTATAATAAATGCCTTATTTTATGTCCAAGAATCCAAAAATGAAATTAAATACTGGGTGTTCCATAAGAAAAAATATAACTTTGGTATGGATCTTAGTTCTGACACACCCTGTACATTTCAAAATAATTTTAAATTATGCACATTGCCTTCCCACGGATACTCACAAAATATTTTGTTTCTACATCTTTCCGTTTGCGTATAATCAATCGAGGCGAATGAGGTGCGTCACCCTGTATACATAATTATACATATTGTTATTGTATATTTGTAATTTGTAGTGTTGAGGTTTCTTTTTATTTACGTTTCGAAGAATGAAAATTTGTAAATAATTTCTTTGAACAGAACCCCCACCCGACCTTGTTTACATAATCTACATTTAAGAGCAATGCATTAGAAGAAAAAAAAATACTTACGAATATAATAATTAAAAAAATAAAACAAAATAAAAAATACATCTATTTTTGAAACGTTGTAGGTTTTTTAATGTTAACAAAAAAGTTATCGAGAAAAATAATTATTGAACTGTGGTTGTGGTAAGCTCTTTAAGAGATATCTTCCTTGAAAACTACTAAAATTATTCAAAACGGTTGAAAAAAAAATGATAATTTTTGATAATTTTCAACAGAAAACAATTAAAAAATACCATGCAATCGAAAAAAAAGCGTCATAGCGGTTTTTTTAGAAATTTCAAAGTCTACTTTGACGCGTTTTTTTTTAAATTTAACTAAGCGAATCAAAAACCCCATTTAAATGATTCTTAATAAACGATAAATATGTCTAAAAAACGTAACAAATGCACAAATTCTATAAAAAAAACAGTTTTTAGAGAAAAACTTGATTACGTAATGAAACAAAAGCCTCTGCAATTGCGTAGATAAATAAATAAAAAATAAATCATATAAATTTAATAAAAAACGTATTCTAAATTATTTATCGTCGCATAATAATTTAAAAATAATAATTGTTGTTAAAATAAGGTCTTTTATTGACGGTGAAAATTTAAATATCATATTTTTAGAAAGGTATAATAATTTTGTATTAAATCAAAAATATGTGAAGTTAAAATACTCCCATTATAGAATTAGGAAATAATTCTGGATTTGTAGATATTTTGAACACTTGTATAAACTATGATTTTTTGGTTGCGAATATTTGGGAGAATTTTATTATTACCATTTTATGAAGAGAAAAAAGTTACAAAGATGAAGTGGCATTTATTTTAAAATATTACTTCAAATAACGCAAAAAAAATGATTTTAAAATATATCGAATTTTTTAATTTTGAAAACGTCGTTTTATTGGGACATCCTGTATAGCAAAACTTCACTGTAATAATTTCTTATATAGAGATTTATAATCAAGTGTTCAAAATATTGAATAATTTAGCTGTTATTCCTAATTCTTTTACCTCATTTTCTTTGTTGGACTTAAGTACTTTTTTATCATGAAAAAAATCATTGCTTTCATTTTATTATAATTCTACAGGGTGTGCCATAGTGACATGCGAATATTTAAGGGTTGATTCTTGAACATTATCAGTGTTTTAATGAAAAAAAAAATAGAAAATTTTACCATTCTATCGCAAAAGTTCTCATCCCCTTTATAATATTAGCATGTCATTAAGGAACACTCTGTATAACCGGAAATGGGATCGTGTAAATATATATTCCGTAGAATCATTTAACCAAAACATTACTAAAAATATTTTATCTGTGATTATTGATTGATGTACTTGAATTATATATAAATATAATATCCAGTCTAGGTCTTAATAAGAATTGTTAACACTCTTTAGCCAGGAATAATATTTGTTGTATAATGTTGTAAGTCGCATCTTTCTATTTAAAAATATAAAGAAAAAAACATATAAAACTTGAAAAAGACTTAACTTAGAAGATATTCTACATTTACCTGTAAGTTTTTATTTTTTTTTGAAGATGAAAAATGATAATAAAAAATAAAAACAATATTTGAATAAATGTACCTGGGGTGGGCCAGGACCCCCCCCCCTCCCTGTAGTTACGCCAATGGCTTTGACGCGAATCTTGTTCCGACATATTGGGAAAAATTACGCGATAGGAACAATAGATAAAATTTTTATCAAAGTAAGGTAATTTTTGTCAACTCTGCATTATTTTATATTCAGTAAATGTAGGATATCTCCGTTATAATGTTTTCAATTTTAAAATCTATATCTTATTCCTAATAATAAAATTTGTATACTTTAATCTCTATGAATGTGTCCTACAAATTTTTATCTAGATGTCATCTACAAGTTTACATCTAAATGTTTGTTACTTTTTAAATGTAAGTACTCTGGTATGTAATCTATATGAAAAACATGAATTGTATTTATTATTTTTTAATAATTATATCAGTTTTCAATTGAAAATGGTATTGTTTTATTTCAAAAAAATAATATACCAGAGATATACAGGGTGGTCCGAACTGTATTCCGGAAACTTTGACCATATACTTTGACAGCATATTCTGCAGATAAAAATAAGTAAAAAAGGTCGTATAAGTGTATGTCCGAAAATACTTATTTTCGGAGATGGAGGGTGTAGAAGTTTCATTTTTATTTCGATTTTTCCAAATAATTTCTGAAGTAACGTCAATATTTGGATGAAAATTGGTGTCATGAGTTTTTTGACATGAGAAATTTGATTTTAATGTCAATATGCTTTTATGTAAGTACTCTGGTATGTAATCTGTGAATATCTATAAATTGTATTTGTTATTAATAATTATATCAGTTTTCAATTGAAAATTTTAATGTTTCATGGATAATACAGTTTGATGAGAAACTTTCGGATCACCCTCGTAAAACAAAGTATATTTTAGGCAACCAGATATACAAACAAAATAGTAAAAAAGTGACATTTTCACGGTCAGTGATTTTCCTAACCTCAGAAAAAAATGCAAATTCTTTTAAAAATTGAAAACTATGTTTCGGTGATAAGATTCACTTAAATACCTGCGTACGTGTTGATTTTTTAAGAAATCAAAATGACCGCAAGCTATCTATCGTACCTTAAGGTCTATCTGTTAATATTAGCTGTTATTTGTTGTGTTTTGGGTCAAGTCCAAAGCTTAGGTCAAATTATTTACTCTGTGAACGCCGGTGGAGATGTCCATACCGATTCAAACGGGGTTAAATACGAAAGCGACCCTTTAGCAGGCAAAGTAGGCATTGCCTCGGATTACGGTAAAAGATTAATAATTGGAAGAGTACCTTCGAGTGACCATATACTCTACCAGACCGAACGGTACCATACAAACACATTTGGGTGAAAAAGAGCTTTACTTTACTTTAAAATGCCTTATTTTCATTGCCCCTTTTTAGCTATGATATTCCTGTAAGTGGAGATGGTGATTTTGTCCTAGTACTTAAGTTCTGTGAAGTCTATTTTGAGGCTCCCGATCAGAAAGTGTTCGATGTTGTACTTAATGGAGAACACACAATTGTAGCGGATTTAGATATATTTGCTAAAGTGGATAAGGGCGTTGCACATGATGAATATATCCCGTTTCAAATAAGTCAAGGTATGAATATAGATTTTACTTACAGGGGTTAATTTTATTTCTTGCAAATTAATAGAGATCCTATATTGCCACATCGACTTAAAAGTATATTATAACAGGAAAATATATTAGGTATTTAAATGATTATAAAAAAACTGCAATAGTGAAATGTTACTTAAATATTACTTATTATGCTTATCCAGTTCATAAGTAATTAACTCTAAAAATGTTAAATAATGTGTGTTTATCTAGATTTATGGTAATGGATACTGATATGAATATATTGCTCACTGACTGCATTAAATAGAGCATAATAATTGCACATTATGGGATAATATTTAAGCATTTAACCATTTTTTTTATTTAAATTTGAATTTTTTTTAAACATGTTAAGGTATAAAAGGCTTTTTTTCATTTTCTTTTTGATATAATATGTATCTGCATTTTTATTAAGTATTTCTTTAAATTAAATAATGCATTCTGATAGTCAATCTCCCGATTATATGTTCTTTCCAATCTTGGGGTTTCAAAAAGGGGTCCCTATCTCAAAAATTGGAAACCCTAGTTAACACCTATTTTTTAACAGGCAAGTTAACAATAGCCGGTGAAGAATCAGAAGTTGTTGGAAACAAAATAAAACTAGAGTTCATAAAAGGTTACAAGGATAACCCTAAAATCAACGCTTTCTATGTGATGAAAGGTACTCTAGACGAAGTTCCAAAGCTCCCACCAATAGTTAACCCAGAATCTCAGTCTGATCAGGCTTCAAAACAGTCTTCAGATGAAGAAGAAGAGGAAGATAAGTCTCAGAAGAGGCCTAGGACTGTGCCAAAGGTCGCAGACCCTTACGAGAGTGAGGACTCATCAATTATGTTACCAGTTTTCATAGTTATCGGTGCTTTTATACCAGTTTTGTTCTGTTTGTGCCGATTGTGATAGAATCTTCTTTAATTTAAAGTAATTTGAGTCATTTTTATCTCTGTGTTCAGTTGGGTAATGAGGTTATTTTGGGTTTGTTCCAAAGATATCTAAATAAAGGGAGACAGAACTTTACGTTTTATAGCGATCAAACATTGTTTTTAACGAAAATCGATGATGCCAAATTTCTGCGGATTGCGTTAGATCTACCACTTGTGTTTGAAAACTAAGTATGTTATTATTGTTATTAATGTTTTTCTGGGTACCTATAAAAACAGCATACTAAATATATGTCTATGTATATCATTTTAGTTAAAATACATAGATTATTCCTTTAAAATCATTTTTTGTTTTCTAATTAAAAATGATTAGGGAAATAACTGTGGCAACGCTGCTTCAGAAAGGCTGTTTGGTTTCTCTGGGTTTTACGATGAATAGTTTAGAAAATTTGATGAATTCATTCAAGTCATGTTTAAAAACGTTGTGTTTGTGAACTTTTGTGTTTTTCAAGTAATTTTAACAGTTTTTCTTTGCAAAACAACTGTTTAAAGTATTTTTAAATATCTAAGATGGTCCGCTAGTGCTTAGTTTGCAAAAAAGTGGATTATTCTAGCCCAAAATTGTGATGTAACGTATTTTTTATCTTTAACAGTGGTGTACCTCATTTAAATTCAAGTAGGTTATTACAAAAAAGCATTAATGAAAATACATTATATCTACACGACTTTTTTTGCCTTCACATCTTGAATTCTCATTAACTATTACTATAATAGAGAAGTAATAAATATTATATTACCATTACATTTTATATATTTTAAATTAAAATTACTTTTTACGATTGTTGATAAAAAATAGCACGCCACTGGTAGACTGAAAAGACAGAAATACACACGAAACTCGACAGCGTTGTCATATTTATGCATCTATCTCTTTTTAACTTATATAAAAGTGTTAAAGCATGTATGATTGTAAACAAATGGTGTTTTATGAACGGAGTGTTGTGTCTTCCTTTTAGATAGATGTCTTTATTTGGTCCCATTGAATAAAAAGACTAAAAAAAGGCGTCTCGTGCACCTTTTTTATTTTGATTTTTTTAATAAAACAAAATGTTATTTTGCTTTTTTACAAATTAGGCTGACAGATGAAATCAATTAACTGAAATGGTAAATTTTTAGCTACTGGAATTTCACTTAGTAATTAACAAAAAAACAAAAATCAATAAATTAAACAAACTAAATAAAACAAAAAAAGGATTTGATATGAGTCAATATTAAACCAGTCAATATAAAAGTTGAATATGGCTCTTTTTTTAGTTTTTTTTCAAGTGGTTGTAATAAATTCATTATTGGGTTGTTTGGTATTAAATTATATGTCATAATGACAAAAATTAAGACCAATTAAATTATTTGGTTCGTGACTTAAGTAAAAAAGACAAAATTAGATTTTGTAGCATTTTATTTTTTTATATTTTTTTTTTGGTGTGGTTTTATATTTTATAAATAACTTAATTATTGCAAAAAGATGTACCTAAATATTTTACTTGAATAATACGTTTACCTTATATGAGGTTATTTCGAAGTCTGTGTTACTATATTATTGATAATTTTAATTTTTAAATGTCTTTTAAATTAAGGATATGATTAAATTGTTTTGTATTGGTGTATGTTATTTAAGAAAGGTTAGTGAGGGGTATTTCAGTCGTTTTGTTTTGTCCAGTATTATAATTATAATTGTATGTGAAGTACTTTAATTTTAGGTACTTAAAATCATTTTATTGAATTGGATCAAAAAATGAAATCCATGTCAAAATGGAAGACAGTAGATAATAAAGTTTATTTAAAAAATATTATTTGTGTTTTATTTGACTTTTTCGAAGAAATAAAGATCATTATTAACTAAATAAAGACGACTTTTATTTATAAATAAATTTACATCAGTTATACAACATACAGAGGCTTAGGTATAATAAATACATAGGATTATATTGGAACAGAATAATAATCCACAACTATCGTTCCATTATTGTCTTTCAAAGCTGCATTTCTTTCACCACCATCACTAAGACTTCTTTTTAATTTTCTTCTACCTTTGAAGATGCCCCTCACCAATTTATATGGACTCATCCTTCCAGCGGACTTTGGAGACTTCACCACATCCAAAGAGTCTTTTTTCTGCTCCTTCAATGAATCTTCTTTGGTTTTAAGAGCCTGTTCTACCACAAATACTGGTTTGGACTTGTGCAGAGATGACAGGGAAGTGTCCATGGTAGTGTTTTCTACTGGACACGATCTTATGGCGTTTGTCAGACATGTTTCATTGATGTCTTTGGAATAGGACAAGCAATCATCCATAAAAACATCGTCCGAGTCTTCTATACTGGAAGAATCAACGTAGGTTTGGTTCATGACCTTTGGCTGGTCTTTTTTGAGCGGTTTTGTCTTAAGAAACAACTTTTCTGGATGATAAACGTTTAAGTCTTTGAGGGAATCTTGAGAAGAACCCGAATCTCTTCCAGAATCTTCAGCGATATTCCAGATATTTCTGTGAATGTTCCCTGTAGGTACTGCAGCGATCACAGTAGAGTTTTTTAACATTGTTTCGACTTTCGATTGACTCCTGTACCTTCTCTGGACATCAGTATTGATGCTGGAATTACGATATGGGGTTCTGCTGTAGTTCGATGGGTATTTTGGAGGAAACTGATCACAAATCTGTTGCTCCAAGTGAAACAAATTGCAGAAAAAGTTCTTCAAAGCCGCTCTGAAGTCACGCAAGTGATAGGCGTACAGTAAAGGATTCCCAGCTGAATTTAGGTGAGATAAAATGATACAGGACAGCATGAAACTGGAGTTGACTTGGAAGTCCTTGTAGAAAGCGATGATACAGTTGATGGTGTAGAGTGGAATCCAGCAGATCATGAAGAAGAGCACTATGATGGCTAGGTTTTGAGTCGCTCTCACTTCGTTGCGCTGTTGGACTCCAAGCATCCTCACCATTCCTCCTGACGGGAGGTTCTTGGACTTTTTGGTTCCGTTTTCCGGGTTCATAACCACGATTTGTCTCAACTGAAACAAAAGAGAAAGAAGAGTTTTGTTAATTCTATTTTAAGGAAGTACAAAATAAGAAATGAGTAGAATTTTTTTTCTGTTTTTAAATTATTTTTATTGATTTCTAAGGTGAGGGAAAACAGACAGGGTGTTTATAAATACGTGTTAAAAAATGACTGTTACAAGGCAGGATCGAAAAAAAAACGGCGTTATAGACACCTGGCGAATGACAATTATTGATGATAATTTTGGCGAGGTCAAGCCCTAGATGTCATTTACTTGGCCCTTTTTATTTCTTAATGGAGCGTATTGTCAGTTGGCCTTAAGAAGGTTGTAATTTATTTTTGTATTTAGTAAAAATGATTTTTTAAATGGTATAGCTTAAAATTCGAGAAAAAATATTTTTTGAAAATAGATTTGTGGGTCTGGAAACGTTTTATCCTTTTTTAATATTTCTATAATTAGTGTTAATTTTTGTCCAGTTTTATGTCATTTGTAAATAACGTCTAGAGATTGACCTCGCCAAAATTATCATCGATTGTCATTCCTCAGCCATCTTCGACGCTGTTTTTTTTCGATCATGCAGTATAATTATAGATTAAAGTTAATTTTAAACTGTTTTTTTTTATATAAAAACATCCAAAAATGAACATCGTCCTATAAAATTTGTTTTTCTATTAAACTATTAAAACAAATCGATAGTTGTAAAAACATCGAGAGAGATTTGTCTTATACATCTCTAAGTCAAACATAAAACATTTAACTCCTTTCTGCAGATATTTAACGCTTTTAAGGAAATCCTAGAAAGTTTTACGGAATTTCTTATGACAAATGAAAAACAACTTGATTTATACCAGTGGCATTCAGCGTTACAGAAATTTTGTCCAAGAAAAATTATCCACTCCGTTTTTAAGAACATAGTAAATAGAAGTATCAAAAATGAAAAATGGAAATTCTCTTCAAAACTATGATTTTATATCTATTGAAGAACTGTAAACATAAATACAGAAAAAAAGATAAGTCTGAGATATATTAGTGGAAAAGTCGCAGAAAATACGATGGAGAATATACAGGATGTCCCATTTTTGGATGTCTTACAGGGTTTCTTGTTTATGAGTAGATATATACAAAGATGCGATTTTCCAATCGCTATGCTACTTTTTTAGCTACTTTTTTTTTATTTAAGATGTAATAATTAAAATATGTTTTAAACGTGTACTTATTTATTATACTGTTTGAATGTTTTATTCTTCATCATTTTTTTATTAAATTAATGTTAGGTATATCACAGTCACGGAGATTTTATCAAATAATAAAGATCTACCGACACTAAATCATAAAAATAAAAAATTCTAGGAAAATCTTTGACTAACGGGTATGCAACCTTAATAGTATTTTGAGGAGACATGAATTCTCCATTGAATATCGGAATAATATACTGGGTGTTCCGTTTAAAATAAAAGACTCATTTTAAAAGAGACCAATTTTCAATATTAATTTTGTCTCACCCTGTATAACTTTTCGGGTCAAGTTTTAATTCTTTTTAAAAGGTTTTAAAATACAATGGTTATGTAAACTATATATCAGGCTATATCGGGTAAATTTCAATTTAGATAGCTTTTATTGAAATCTTGAATGGGCTCTTCATTTTTAGAAAAAGTTAAATATATGTTAAAAATATTATATTTTAGTAAAATATGCTTCTCCAATGGAGCTCACCTTTATTTTTTATTTCTTGAATCCGAAAATCAATAATATATAGGGCGTTCCATTACAAAAAACACAACTTTGATGTGTAACTTTTTAGGGACACCCTGTAGAACTCTATATATTTAAAAAAAAGTGCTCTAAATTAATCTATATATTATATGCTGACAAAATTTCTTGTTAATTTAAGCTGTCGTTCCATTTGGAGCCTCCGCGTCGTATGAGACGCGCCACCCTGTACAATATGTATAGGCCTGTACCTTTGATCACAAGAGATAATTTTAAAATAAAAACATATATAGATAATGTATTGCAATCAGTTCAGAATCTTTATTTGTCTCTGCACATTTTTTTCTACAATATTCTGTTAGTTATTTTTATACAAAGCAGAAATATCATCAATTTTGTCTAATTTGATGGATCGTCTACGACTATAGTGGAAAAGCTACACGCGAAGAACCTTATAATTATCAATTAGGGTGACAAGTTTATAATTTCAATACACCCTGACATTTCATCGATACATCTGAAGCATGCTTATCAAATTACACTTTTAATGATAAGGCTTAGAGTGTTATTAGAAAAAGGGAGTTTATTAGATACTGTTTTAGTACTAATTTGAGTTTCAAGTCCTTTTGATAAGTGTGATTTGTGTCTTCTGATAAGGTGGTTCATCAAGCTCTGAAAAGATTATATCTTTGTACAGGGTGTCTCATTTTCGTGTGTTTTACAGGGTTTCTCGTTTATAATCAACGATACAAAGATGCAGTTTCATAAAAAAGCAGCACAGTAATGTGAAAACCGCATCTTTGTTTCTCTATTCATAAACGAAATATCTTGTAAAACACACAAAAATGAGACACGCTGTACAGGGAGAGTCAATAATAAAGTTCAGAATTAGATGCTACGAGGTGTGAACAAGATTTTATTATTAGAATAAATATACGGATATAATTTACCTGTTTTAAGACCACCCTGTATATGTGAGCATAGAATCCGATCAGTATCAGGGCTGGCGTGATGATGGTACCGAAATACAGGAACACCAAGTAGTTGTAGTCCATCACAGTGAGGAAGAAGCAGTCGACGCTGTTTGGGCGGTCTTGGTGCCAGCCCATCAGAGGTAAAAACCCTATGAAGCTACCAGCGAACCAGCATATGCTGATTATAACTGAAAAAGAAACACTAAATTTAATTTTAAAAAATATTTTTTTTGAAAGACAAACTTTTGATACGTGATTATGGTGGCCAAACAACAGAGGTGACACCAGGTACCATTTTAACGATTTTTAATAGTTTACTGTGTAGTGAACTTTGTATAAACCTTATTACAATGGTGATTTGTAATACCTTTTTGATATTTTTGTGTAGCTATAGGCCCTTACTCTAATAATTTGCAAAGTATTCGCTTGATACACGAAAGTATATCAAACATGTTCAAGTTTCAACACTAGTTTATACACGAACACCATCACGAACACGAACCAAGAATATAGAGTATCAAAATGGCATCTGTCTTGTCACAAATCAAAAAAATTACTCATATCATTTTCATTTCATTCAGTTTTTAAAATTACAAAATTCTAGTGTATCAAGCAAAATGAGAGAAATCGTTCATATTCAAGTTGGTCAAGCTGGCAACAATATTGGAAATAAGGTGAAGTACAAAAAATATTTAGTAATCTTCCTGTATTATATTTCCTCTTAATTTTTAACACTTTTTTCAACTATTTCTAGAAAAATAATTTTTAGTATACTTTGCACAAATATTGCGTTACAGTAGTCCCCATACTATTATCTACAATCTTTTTTCTACACTATGATACATATTTTTCTACATTTTTAAAGTTTTGGGAGGTGATATCTGACGAACACGGTATAGACCCTACAGGACATTGGCATGGAGACACTGACCTCCAATTGGAGAGGATCAACGTTTACTATAATGAAGCATCTGGTGGTAGATTCGTACCAAGGGCTGTACTAGTGGATCTGGAAGAGAGTACTATGGATTCTGTACGCTCTGGCCCTTTTGGAAGGCAAGTTTTGAACGCATTTTATAAAAATTGCCTTTATTTTTAATATATAGATCCCTGCGGAATCAAGTGCCTTTCATGCTATATTATGCTTGCTTATAGTCAACACAGTATTTATTTACCTTAATCTTTCTCCCTCTCAAGTCCAATATGGCCGAAAAAAAGAGTCCAGTTGGCTTTGAAATGAACATCGATGACATTTCCCATACGATTTTTCATAGCCATTGCTGACGCCGTTTTTTTTTCGATCATATTTTAGATAGAACATATTTCAGAATTCATCATATTTGATACCACTTTTAAAACATTTATAATGCTTACTTATAATTTTGTAGGTTGTTTAGTCCTGACAGTTTCGTGTTCGGTAGGGGAGGTGCGAGTAACAATTTCGCCAAAGGGATGTATACAGAGGGTGCCGAATTGGCCGACACCGTGTTGGACATCATTAGAAAAGAAGCAGAAGGATGCGATTTACTGCAGGTTGTAAAAAAATCCTATTTACACAATATACAATATGTCCCTGGATTGTTTTTTTAAGAGGATTTTTTTTTTATTATGGGCATTTTGTTTGTTAAATTGTAAGAAAGCGCCCCCTAGCGTCTACGTTCAAAACATTATTATTATTATTTTTATGGTATAATATAGATTCTGATCATCCAGTCCGGAGTTACTAACATTTATATAATAGATAGATCTAACCTTCCCCCACCACTTTATTTTAGCAGATAGGGGAAAATGGTTCTAACAAAGAAAATCCAAAATTTACTGAAGATTATGAAGCTATTACTTATAGTACACCTTATCTAGGCAAAATGGTGTAAAAACTCCATTTTCTTATTTTTTGTTGCAGTTGTGCCCCCTAGCGGTCCTTCTACAAACTTGAAAATAATTTCCAGCAATTTCTCATAGCCTCTTTAGTTATAAATATTTTTTTCCGCAGCCCCTACGGCTAATACTTTCCGAGATACAGCCGAGAGCTATTCTTAGTGGGACACCCTGTACTTATGATTCATAAAAATAGGGCTAAAAATATAAAAAATTAAACACTTTCTCCGTTGCGTTTTTTTGCATTTGAGTGTACATTATTTTCTTGATTTCTGATAGAAACATAATCCTATTACTCTATTACTAAAAACTTACTTCTAAAACACATTTAGAAGTAAGTTCCCAGATCGCATGTCACATACAAATTAATATAGTTTTTGAAATCATGCAATTCTAGGGTTTCCAGATGGTGCACTCCATAGGCGGAGGTACGGGCTCAGGAATGGGTTGCCTGCTGTTGGATAAAATCAGAGAAGAGTATCCTGACAGGATTATCAGTACTTTCACCATCATTCCCAGTCCCAAAGTATCCGATACAGTGGTAGAACCTTATAATGCTACTATGTCCATCACTCATTTGGTAGAAAACTCCGATGAAACTTATATAATAGGCAAGAATGAAGTTTTCACGCTTTTTTTATTAGTTATATATTATTCATTGCCCCAGCTCGATGTTCTGTGTCGAAGTCAAATTCTTGTAATCGTTCGATCCATCTAGCTACCTACCCTTCAGGATTCCTAAACTGCAACAGCCATTTCACAGCATCGTGGTCTGTTCTTAACAAGAATTTTCTTCCATAGAGATACTTGTAGAAGTGTTCCACTGCTTTAACTACGCTAGTAATTCTCGTCTGGTTACAGAGTAGTTCCTTTCTGGTTTTGATAAGGTCTTACTAAAATATCCAATTACTTTTTCTTGACCATCCTGGATCTGAGACAGAACAGCGCTTCATCCAACATTGCTAGTGTCTGTATCCAATATAAAGTGTCCGTTGCCAAGAAGGTAGCTAACTATGGGCGGACTTTCAAACGGAAACCAACTGAAAGCGGAACCGAAGAATCTGGAAAACTCCATCCGTAACTTGGAATGGGTGTCCTCCAACGGTCTAAGATACTCGAAAAAGTTCCTCAGTGGGGAAAATGGGGAAACACCAGAACACCTTATCACTGAGTGCGCCGAGACAACGACCATTCGTGCCATGAACTTTGGTACGTCTGATGTCGAGGATGGAGGAGCTGGCCTCTGTGGAGCCGTCTCAGATACTGGCTTTTGTTAAAGCCCTGAGACTGTATGATGAGTTATAACTCGGTATAACTAAAGAAAGGGGAACACACAATAGATCTATAAGGTCGCGGTGATTAACTCCCCTCCTAAACATTCTAAATTCTACATGGGCGACTAGTCTTCAATCATTAGGGCCTTCTTCAATCTTCGGAATGCCTCGTCAGAATCTGAGTCCCAAGAGAAACGCCTCTCGTCTTCGGTAAGTCTGGTCAATGGTTTAGCGATAGTGGCGAAACCATGTTGTCCAATTTGCTACTACTATACAATAAATCGTCTATTTTTAGTATAGTAGGTAGCAAATAATGATTGTATGAGTATCACGGTCATGGTAGATAGTATAAAACACTCAGTTTTACTTTACTTCCAGACAACGAAGCGTTACATGACATCTGTTTTCGAACTTTGAAGCTATCCTCTCCGAGCTTAGCTGACTTGAACCACCTGATTTCAGCTGTCATGTCCGGTGTAACGACTTGCATCAGGTTTCCAGGTCAGCTCAATGCTGACTTGAGGAAAATCCAGGTGAACATGGTACCTTTTCCTAGGCTGCACTTTTTCATACCTGGATTCGCACCACTATATTCCAGAGGTAAACATTTATTACAGTTGGGGGTTGGAACCTTTGGTGTTACACATAGTATTGCACAAGACAAGAATTCTTGTCTTGAAAATCAATTTCTTATGTTGTCTTGAAATTCAAGACAAGATATTTTCAAAGTCTTGTCTTGCAAATTTCTTGAATGGGAAAGTCTTGTCTTGTCTTGCCAGACTCTTGAAATTTCTTGCATATTAAAGTCTTGTCTTGAAATTCAAGACAAGAAATTTTGAAAGTCTTGTCTTGAATTTCATGTAAGAGTTTTGGTCTTGCAAGACTTTTTCAAGACTCTTGTGCAACACTAGTTACACAACAAAATAAAACACTAAATCACCACAATACACCAAAACACTTTTACTTTTACACTGGACGCGCGTTATGCTAACCATGTTAGCATCCTCAGCAGATGATTAAACTAATCTAATCTAATCAGTTTAATCATCTGCTGACGATGCTAACATGGTTAGCAAAACGCGCGTCCAGTGTAAAAGTAAAAGTGTTTTGGTGTATTGTGGTGATTTAGTGTTTTATTTTCCAGAGGTAAAAATTTAATAACATTTTTTTTTAGTATAGTCAAATGAATTGTTTTTTTTTTCTTATATTTTAGGGAACAGACCTTACAAAGGCAGTACAGTACCGGAACTTGTATCCCAACTGTTCGATGCGAAAAACCTAATGTGCGCTTGTGACCCCAGAAAGGGACGATACTTGACAGTGACCTCTATATTTAGAGGTCGCATGTCCACCAGACAGGTCGAAGAACAAATGGTCAACATCCAGGACAAGAACAGCAGCTATTTTGTGGAATGGATACCGAACAACGTCAAAACTGCAGTTTGTGACATACCACCGAGAGGTTTGAAGATGTGTGCTACCTTTATTGGTGTTTATTTACTAGAAAATGTGTAATTTTTGTATACATTTTTATTGTAAAATGTTTGTAGGTAACAGTACTGCTATTCAGGAGTTGTTTAAACGAACTGGTGAGGCATTCTCGGCTATGTTTCGTAGAAAAGCATTTTTACATTGGTATACAGGTAAGGCAATTAAAGAGTCTTTGAGTAAACGTTCGATCCATCTAGCTACCTGCCCTTCAGGATTCTTAAACTGTAACAGCCATCTCAAAGCAGCATGGTCTGTTCTTAACAAGAATTTTCTTCCATAGAGATACTTGTAGAAGTGTTCCACTGCTTTAACTTGAGTTCTTACTTAACTGAGTTCTTCTCTATGCTCTATAATCCTCTATGCTACATGTCTATAGATCATAATATTCTAATAAGGTTGCGATGAGTTTTTTGCAGCGGCTGTTAAGCTATCTTTTACACTTCGCACTAAAAGAGGTTCTAAAAAGAACAATGTTCGACTGCTCTGCTAATAAAAATTAAGGTCTGCTAATAAAAATTTTTAAACTTAAAATGCCGCAACACAATTCATTTAAACCAAAAACTCGTAATACAAAACTAAAGTGCCAAAACGAATGACAATGTCAGGAAATAAATAAATAAATGTGGCAAATTGACATTTTTTTAATGCAGAAGAATGTTTTCTATTTTTTTTCTTTTATTATATACAGGTGAAGGAATGGAAGAACATGAGTTTACTGAAGCTGAATCAAATATGCACGATCTTATATCGGAGTACCAGCAATATGAAGCTGCTAAAGATGAGCCTGATGAAGATGAAGACTATGATGAAGATGAAGAAGATGATTACTGAAGAGATTACAACAAAAAGTAGAAAAAATATCAAAACATCAAAATACTCCTAAAAAGAAATCACGAAAAAAGTTTGTTTGTTTTGGAATTGAATGAAAATGATGATTAAGAAGAAAAGAAAACAACGAATAAAGACAGGAAAAGAAAAAGAGAATAGAAAAATCAAGTTCTGAAACATTAAACTAAATTTATAAAAAAAATTCAACATAAGTTTTTGGAATTGGGGAAACTGATGAAATAAAATTATCAAAAAATTTAAGCATTTTTAATTTATTTTAAAGCCCCGTTCTCAGAACATCGACTATTAAAAGTGCTTGAATATCAATTCATCTTTTATTTTTTGTTTCTTATTATATAAAATATTTTTTATTTCTACAAAAAGGAACAAAGAAGAAACCTATTTAAAATATCTATTTTAAATAGACAACACATTTATTAAAATGTGTTGTTTTTTAAACGTACAAAACATTTAATAAATTCTAGATTCCAAAATGCGCATTTTCCAAGAAATAATTTATGATGCGGCAACATCGCTCGAAAATTTAATTAAGCTAAAAAGCAAATGGATTTTATCCATTATCGCAAGTACGATTAAAAAAGGAAAAAGACCTACGAAATATTAGACAATGGAGTGAAAGAAAGAGAGGAATATATATCCGGATATAATTCATTACAGATCAAGCTTTTAAGGCGTTATTAATATTGATGAATAAATAAACAGGTTTTGAGCTAAATATGACAGAGACGGCGTGTAATTTTCTTTCTGATGGGGTACATATTAATTTATTTTACAATGTAAAATAAATAGGGAAAAAATACATAGTTATTTGTAACGTATGCAGTACAAATTTTTTTTTAGTATAAAATGACAGACAACTCTTACTGTCAAGCATTCTCTCGGTATACAAACTTTACATTTTACATACCTAAATAAATTTATAGGTCCGGATATTTAGATCACTTATTCGAAATTTCCAAAAACTTGTATGGAGACCCTAATTTAATGAGACACCCCGTATATAGATATATTCTTATTTCTTTCCTTCTCTTTGTTCATAAACATTCAGAAAGCGCTTTTCTTCTTGAAAAACTTTGTTGTGCTGTATCCTTCATGTACTAAAAGCTTTGTTATTTCACCCGTGAATGTTTTTGTTTTATTTTCATTTAATATGCAAAAGTGAACTTTTAAGTGAAGATTACTAATGTTTTCACTTAAAGTACTGAAAAAAAATGAATAAAAACTCCTACTTAATACATTTTGATATTTTTATTTTATTTTTAAAATAAAAAAAAAATAATAATACAGATCCTGAATGTAATGGTTTTTTAAGGACATACCTTAAAATATACTTTAGTTAGGGTTAGATTTAATCATGTGTAATTGTATTTACTGTAATTATAATATTTACACGGATATTAGTAATAATTTGGAAATAATGTAGAAATGGTCATAGTAACGATATCTGTGACAAGTAGGGTGAACTAGACCGGGAACGACAGGGTAGTTGAGGTTTTCTCGGACCAATCAGACGGTTCCTGAAAAGCGAACCCGAAGAGGATTTGAGAATAGCTCGGCTTTTGGTGGTTCCCTCTTCTTTTTATCCGCCCATTTTAAAGATTTCAAGGAAAATAGTTTTTTTGGATCAGTTCGGTACTGACTTTTAAATTAGACGGTCGAATTTACTCCGTGTAGATCTTATATTATCCAGTGGTTTTTTTTTAATGATTTTAGTAAGTTTTCTATTTAAAGATTTTCTTAAATATTCAATTCTCAAGTTAGGAAATTTTAAACATTTCATGTATAAAGATTTTTAATTTGTAGTTTTAGATTTTCTTTAATATTTTTTTATTAACGATTTAAGACTTTCTGTTTGTTTTAAAGGCTTTAGTAAAAGTTAGATGTCATCACACAAATGATTATTTTGCAATTGTTCCTTTTATTAAATTCTAATTTAAATCCAATTGTTCAGTTAATATTTTTTTTTGACATATTAATTTTCTGGCAACGAAAATTCTAAGAGAGATTTGAATTGTATGCTAATTTTAGATAATTTAGATTAGACTAATAAGAAGAATATTTTGTATTTTTAATTTTATCACTTCTGAATTTTAATATCGTTCATTAATTATTTTTGATTAAATTTCTTTTCTTTTTTCTATATTTCATTAATTATAAATGTTTTGTTGTTAAATCTTTTTCTTTATTTTAATTTATTTATTTCTTTATATTAAATATAGGTGTTGTGAAAAATCGGCATTTTATTTCTTAAATCTCACCTTTTCACTAAAATATTAAACTAGAGTCCAAGACCGAAGCGGTAGATCTACAAGGAGATTAATGAAGTCTCCGACAGGTTCTTGTTGTTGATGAAATGCTGACGGATGTTGACGTAATAAGGTAAGTGGCAATAGAGTTTATAGTAACTGAATTTAGAAAGAGCCCTTACCATAAAAGTGCGATACCTTAACTTCTATTTTTAGCTGGTTAGTTATATTTTGTTTTTATATGTAAACGATAATCTATATTTGCGTTCTGAAAAGACGGTGTTCTCATTAATCCAAGTTCTGCCTACCGCTCAATAAATTATTTTAATTATAATTATTATATAAAGGCCACACTACCATGATCACGGACAAAATCTTGAAAGTTTTGTCACATGAAGAACGTCATATCGTCCCATTGCTGCCAAAAGTCACTAACTTACTTTTTATTACTTCCGAGAAAAATGCGTCTAAAGATGAACTGCATTGCATAAAGATGTTATAGTTAGTAACTATTCGGTATTAAAATAAAACATAAACAGCCAGAAATCGTAGTTAATGACTTTTGCAATCGATTCTCCGCTTCAAAACATAGTTAGTGATTGAATTTGGTTGTTCGGAAAAATGTTAGTGACTTTTGGCAGCAATAGGACGATATACAGGTTGCTCCGAACTGTTTTTCGGAAACTTCGGCAGCATATTCTGCAGATAAAAATAAATAAAAATGTTCCAATAAATGTATGTCCTAAAATGCTTAGTTTCGAAGATACAGGGTGTAGAAGTTTTATTTTTATTTCGATTTTTTCCAAATAATTTCAGAAGTAACGTACATATTTGGATGAAAATTGGTGCCTGGGTGTTTTTTGACACGAGAAATTTGATTTTGATGCCAATATGACTCCTACTTGTAGGGGACGTCACCTACACTTTTTTAAATGGTTTGAAGTGTAATAACTGTTCGTCGGCACCTGTATAAAACGACTAAGTAAAAAAGTATACATTTATGACATTTTTTACGTGAAAAAGGTCTCTTGGTAAAAAATCGCTACGGGTAATGGTTCTCGAGATATTTGAAATCGAAATCATCAATACCTGTCATCATTGACATAAATTAAATATGCTGACTAAATCCCGTATGATCAAAAAAAAACGGCGTCCAGTTAGCTTGAAAACGAATATCGATGACATTCCATATATAATTATTTTACATGCATTTTAGGAAATAAACTTATACAAACTTTTTAGTTATTTTTATCTGCAGAATATGTTGCCGAAGTTTCCCGAATACGATTCGTACCACCCTGTACAATAAGCAAAACAGTGAGAGGCTCAATGTCCTTAAATAAGAACAAAAACAAGTAGAAGCCAAATAAACAATATCCGCCAGAGCTAAAAATAGATAGAAAAACGGTGATCGCAAATAATTCATACGTCAGTAAAATACTTAAGAAACCTTATAATTTTTTTTATTAATGTCTCAAGATATTCTTGCCCGTTTGGTACTGTTTAAATTGTCATCCTGTATAAAGTTTTATCTATTTCCAATTTAAAATGCCGTCCCTCTATAAAGAGAAGCTTTATGAATACATTTGTAATATTTCTTCTGGAGTTTTATATCCAGTGGAGCAGACAAGAACAAACAGAAACTTTCTTTAAGGTCATCCGGTATAAAAATTTGGAAGAAGGTTGCATCAAAAATAAGCTTTATGTGTTTATTTAGATCGAATATATTTCCCGACAGTGGACGTCTTTGTTATACCTATATATTTATTCTTATCCTCAATAACATAGTTTTATTTTTTTTTAAAAGGCTGATGTGAGTATTTTGTATATTGTAAGTTGAGGAACTATATTGTTGTAGTATGCAATGGCATTAAAAGAAAAAATACGCCGAAATAAATTATTTTTATTGCTGCTTTATAAAAGAAATGCCTTGTTGTTGTTTTTTTATTTTCACCAAAAATTCTCTACAAACCAAATTAAACAGAATTAATCTTTACGCTTTGTTGCCTCCAGCTAAACTGCAACTCCTTATCTGGAATACTCAGAGATTAGGGGTGGTTCAGCCCTTCGTTTAGGGGCTTAAACTGTAGCTTAACAGCGTGGGATTTGGGGAAAATACAATACGCGGGAGGCCAATTAAACGTCAGAGAAACACGTAAACATAGAGACACTCTAACATTCAAAACCAACAAAAAAAGTCTGTATAAAAACCCTATTTAAATATTAAATAGGATCAATAAAAATCCCATTTAATACTTTAAATAGGATAAATAATAAATCCCATTTAATACTTTTAATGGGATTTTTAAGTATATACCTTTGAATAAGAAGACTAAGGAAGGAGCATATCAAAAATCTTAGGTACACCGCGAGGGGCATCAAATATGGCCGACTTAAATTCCGGTTTATCAGTGCCGTTCTAATTTTATTTAAAAAATGTAAAACTATGATGTAGGGTAGACGTGGGGTAGACTCAATAATTTGTTATTTTATTTTACGTTGTGAATATATGTTGGTAGTTATTAAAATTACCTAAAATTGTTATAAAAATATATAATTCTAATAAAAATAGATAAGTTATAATAAGTATTTTAACACAAACATCCGATACGCTACTGAAGCAGGTAAGTCAAATTAACGTATCAAAATTCTTTGACATCTGATCTTTGACAAGTAGTAAATAAAAGCTAAAATGCAAGAAAATATATAATTTAGTTAATTTAAGTGAATTTCATAAATGATCGGTTTGCTACACGTATGTATATTATATAGTCACTTACTAGCGAAAAGTTGTTCCATTATTTCACTCAATTTTTGCCGAGATCTACCGCACGCTACACAACCAACTATTTTAGAGTTTTTTTCGATAAATCGCGATAATGCCACTGTTAATTTAAGTTCTGCCACAATTTCCATCTAGATTTACTACCTTTATACAACTATCAGTAGTAGAATAAATAATAAATAACATAAAATAAGCTCCGTAAAGACTGACCAATCCACAAAATTTCAAATCAAATTCAAATGTGTCAAATGAATCGTCAAACAGAACTGTCAAGGATCCCCACCCTAGAGTGCTTTTATGGTGCTTTTTCCGCCCACCATGCATGAATACATGGATAGCATTATGGTCCTTCCTTAGTCTCCTTATTCAAAGGTATATACCGTCATAATTACATAACCACTTAATCCGACACTATATTTCATGCTCTAAGAAACATAATTAACACCCATAGAAAATCGTATTGCCCAGTCAGATTCGTTAAGAGATTGTCGCAAACTTAGACTGTATTTTGAAACCCTACGTTTGCTTATTTCTCTGAGAATTAAACCCATAAAACAAAATCGTTTTGCTATAGAGAGGGCAGAGAAAAGATTTTCTCAGTGGTTTGTTTCGGGGTTGGTGGTAATAATGAAAATAACGGGGTGTTTTCCTCCTCTAAAAGGTCCACTTCTCGCTTTTAGATTTCCTATTATTGTAACAACGTTCACCGTGCTTGTGTTTATTGTAACCTTGTAGTGGATTTCTCTAAAAACGATTGGTTCGATCGGAGATTTGTGCAAATAAATGGATGTATTTGAATAATCCTAATAACTTTTTATTTTCCACTTTTAAAGTTGATTCTCACTATTCTACCTTCGATATCAGCTCCCTTCCGTTTCCCCACTTCCGTTTACATAAAATATTATATCATGTAAATGAATAGGACAATGAACACTATACGTTCCGTTTCCTTTCCGTTCCATATCTTTTTCTTCATCCATATCAAATTCTTACATTTGTACCAGCTCTGTTAACATTTTGCTGATATTTTTTTATTCTTTCACCTCTTAATTAAATCTATTACCTTTTTCAAAAGATACAAATTTTTAAAATAAAACTTTCGTAATGATAATGATATGAATAGTACAATAAAAAGTGTCTGTAAAAGGTATTTTGAAGACCAACTTACCTAACGCAGTTTTTGTCCTGACATTCCTCGAATACCCCATAGGATGCAATATAGCCCAATACCTATCAACAGAAACAGCAACCAGACAAAATATCGATATAGTACACAACACCACCAAGAGGGACACAGTAAACAAACAAGCATGTAGGTTATTGGGTAGTCCAACCGAAGACATCAGAGCAAAAGGTATCCCTAGCAATCCCACCAAGAAATCCGCAGCGGCTAGGGATACAATGTAGTAGTTAGTCCTTCTGCGTAGTCTTCTTTCCTTTCTGAAGACATGGATGACCAGTGCGTTCCCTGCTACAGCCAGTACTGCTACCACTAGTTCGCAGATAGCGTATAAGGAGTTCAGTTCGCTGGTTTGGTAGTCGTAAGTTGAATTGACTGGGGTTGTGGTGGTGTAGTTTATGGTGAGCATTATATTTGCTTCCATTTTGGTTGGTTCTGAAGGGCTGTATTGATGAATTGGTTGATAGGTATTATCCGTACTCCATCGTTTGGAAATGTGGTGTTTCTAAGAAGATTGGCATCTGTAACAAAAGGAAACTAGGTAGTAGTATATTATTCTTGACTTTATCGTCTTGAATATGTTTTAGATAAATTATCAAAAAGACTTGGAAGAGATTGTGACATAGTATTTTCCAATTAAATATCCATTAAAATATCTAGGGTAGTAATCTCAAAATATATAAAAAAGTAGAATTTTTAGAGTGATTGATTTAAAATAGAATTTAATAAGGTTTAAAAATGCATTTTAAGTTGGAACTTGAACTGCGTCTCAGTTTATTACATTTCCATAACAGATGCAGATAAAATTTTATTCAGCTGCCATGCCTGGATATCAGAGAGTTATTTCTTAGCTTCCGCGTCAAACTTACAGCTAGAGTTTTGCTTCAAGTTGGCCGTATAAAATGTACATACAGTTCGTCTGCTCGATCTGTGTCTATGAAAGGAATGCGGACAAAAATCATTTAAATAAACAACAATAAATTTTATACGTCGACTTGACGAGTACGTCACCGCAAATCGCTCCGCCCACTCATTTTATTGGCTACTTGCAAATTTGTCGAATTTTTATTGATGGGGCGCGTCGTCTATTTTTTCCAAAACACCAAAAATTAGTTAATTACATGCTTTTAAATTGTTTTAATTAATAAAGTATTCTAAATAAATGTGGATTCGGCTCAGAAATCAATATAATAATAAGTTATGAAAATGAACGGCTCTGTTAGTAGAGGGAGATGGCCGATTCTACGCCAGGATCAAAGATCAGGCGCACTGCGCATGCGCGTAAATCAGCTAGGAACATGTAAAATACGCTATAACAAGAATAAACAGGTTTGGTTTGGTTTGAACAGCTTTTGATCAGCTTTGAACTGCTTTTTAGCTTAAAACAACAGACCTGTTCATTTTTTGTTCATACCTGTTTATTTCTGTTTTAAAGCTGTTCAAAGCGGTTCAAACCTGTTTATTCTTGTTTATTAGCGTATTTTACATGTTCCTAGCTGATCTACGCGCATGCGCAGTGCGCCTGATCCTTGATCCTGGCGTAGAATCGGCCATCTCCCTCTACTTCTGTTTTTATAAATAAGCATCCGTCAAAAAATGCAACAAAATTTATAAGGTTTTACTTTTTTACACACTGTCTAATACACACACAAAATTCAGTTTTTTAGTACTTGGAGCAATTAGCAATTATTATTAATCAACGTAAACAGTCAATTAATGTAGTTTGAATACTGGGATCATATTAATTGGGTAAAATATTTAAACAGTTTTTTTTAATTTTTAATTAAATAAGCGAACTATATTGACAATATTAGTATCTGCACCCTTTGAAAATTTGTTACATCTTTAAAAATTTGTTACATCTTATAAAAAATAAGCTAAAATGTCAATATTCCATGGGTATAGTGATAAATAATGTCTAAATTATAAGAAAATGCATTTTCTACGAAAACTTGAAGAGATGGGTAAAAAATGGTATAATACAATTTGATAGACAATTACATTGTGCATCTGATTCACGAAAAATATATAGGATGTTTCATTTAAATTAAACAAGTTATTGCCGTTTAAAGCTAGTAATTATTTAATATAAATTTTTGGACACTTTGTATAAGGTAGTAAAATTTTTATTATTGCAACACAATATCTGCTCAATAAATAATCTTCAGTAAATATTTAGTATTAAAAACTTTGATACCCTTGGAGAAATGAAGCCTTAAAATTTTACCTCCAATTTCATAAAATTGAAAATATTTCAAAAACGGTAAGGTTTAAGTGTGATAAACCTTAATCAAATTTTATCTCACCTTTATTTCAATCATAGAATACAAAAATAGAATAATATACAGGGTGTTCCATTTAAAAAAATACAACTATAATATTTTTTACTCATTTGGGACACTCTGTATCTTATAAAAATATTTTTAAATTGTAGCTCTAATAGTCCTTCAATAAATCCAAAACTTACAATTTGTAAAACTCTAATGGTTTAGCTACAATACTCCGTGTCGTATGTGGTGAACAACCCTGTATATGTAGATGCTCCACTAAAATAATAGTGTGTGCAACTTTAGTTAGGTAAGTACCTACTTCACTTTCCGCGTGATTCTAGATAAAAATAATTAATAAAATAACTAACTATATAGGTCTTATTCGTTAAAGTAAACAAAAAAGATTCTATATTAATATACACAAACATGAAAAGCCATATGGGTAAATATTCAGACTCGGTCTTTTGAATATGTTTGGGAAGAAAATATTTTTGCAATTGGTCTTTGTTCTAATTTCATTTTTGAGAGTTCTAAGTAATTTAAATAGTTACCTATACGAAGGTTGTCTCTTATTTTTTGCATATACCGGGTGCGTCTCAAAAGTAGCTCACCCCTATAAGTTCTTTCTTTTCCAATGGATTTTTCGCAATGGTTTATTTGAAATTGTAACATGCTGTTCATAACGACAATTTGACTCGAAATACCAAGTGTGTGGTACCAAATTATTCGTAGAAAAATGCTTTTTCCAAATATGCTAATGAGCCATTTGAAAAAATTGAGATATGATTAAAAATACGATTTGGGTATCTTTTAACCGGCCAGGACAAGACATGAAAATCAAACGAACAAGTCTATTTTTCCAAGGCTCCTTGATTAAAAATTAGTGTTTTTAACACAACCATGGCAATTTAAAATACGATTTTTTTAAGCGAAAATGTCAAAAATCGACATATGATATGTCATTCTATTCAGAGTTTTATTTTCTATCGAATAAAGTAATAATATACCAAGGGTGCCGTTTAAAAATCAAAACTTGTAGTCATTTCCGGTAAAACAGGAAATGACCAAAAAAAATAATTCAATATGTCAATCCCAATTTATATCATATACTAATATACCAAATATCATTTTTTTATCTGTAAAAATAAAAAAAATATAGGAGTGAGCCACTTTTGAGACGCTACCGGTATAATATGTAGGTATGTACAATAATATACATATTATTAACAGCCTGCTAGTTGAAACAAGGCCATCAAATTACCTTGACAAAGGGCTAATCTAATATAGAAATTAAATTTATAATTGACAGATTTACACATTAATCAACAGAGCTTCACTTTGATGTAGCAAATCAAACTTGACGTTGCGTTGATTATAAACGTAATTTTATATGAAATAAAAAAATAAATAAGTTTTATAATTATTATACAATTATAAACATTCTAATAAGCATATATAGCTACACAATTTATATACACGGCGTGATGACGGCGTGTTGTTAGTGAAGAGTGAAACATGTATTTACCTGTGAGATTGCGTCACAAGGATCACTGGCTGATCACGGTATATTTGTTACTGTAATTGTCCGAAATGCGGTTAAATCTAGGATAAACGCGCAAAACCTAGGATCTACCAATGAATAACACCCTCCAAATAACCACGCTAACCAACTCGAAATTCGGACATTTACAGTGACATAGTATTTGTTTTTTTAGCAAAGTTTTAAAAGTCGCTAGTATTTCAATGCTTGTTTAGCTGAAGTTCTGAATAAAAAGATCTTTTTGTGATCTTCTTTATATCGTAAGATTTTCTACATAATAGTCACATGGCATCTGATAGATACAATCTTTTTTTTTAATAAACTTTTTAAACCTCCCTGGTAGCAAGTATAACAAAATCCAGTGGTTGAAGATTTAATATTAACCCAGATAAAAAAGATAATAAAGTTACCGACAAAAGTTATGGAGTGCTATATAAAAACAGCAGTCGAAGAGATAAAGCTCTCTATTTGCTGGCTCTTGTTAATAATGGTGCTTGGAAAAATTTATGATTTATCCAAAGATTTATCAGGCTACGGTGAAAATTCATTTTTTGTAATTACATGAGGTATACAGAAAATAAATGGGAATCAGTTATAAAAAAAATTTATTGGGATATAAAAAATATAATATACTCATTCGGCATTTACTTACGTGTAATATTTCTTTTATACAGGGTATTTGAAAAACATGTGTCTCTCGTGGGGAGATTCCTCAAGTAAAAATAAGATTTATTTTTCATATCCACATAGGTCCTATTCTGCTTTGTTTCCTGGCTACAGGGTGTTAAAATCTTAATCTTTTTTCGATTTATTATACTTTTCTTCAAAGTACTTTTAGCGTTACGAATGAAATTTTGAGGGTAAAAGTTACTATAAATACGACATATTTTAAAACTAAAAAAATGTCGTCATATGCATATGGGTTATCACTAGAATATTTTTATAAAAAAGCATGTACGCCACTGACTTTTTTTCTTTTGTTAGCGAAATAGTGTAAGCAGTTGAATGCTGATTAAAAGGTGCCTCTTGAAATTTTGTCGATTTCGGCCTCCTTGATGAGATAAATGCAATTTTATTAATGACAGAAATAACGAGAAAAAACGAAATTTCCAAGAATATTCGACTAACTGAACTGTTTATTCTAATTTGCATATCGCTATTGTACAGGGTGGGTCAAATTCGACACTTTTAAATGGAAACACCCTTTTCTATAGGAGAGAGACAAAAACTAATATCGGTGTCTGGAGCTCTGTCATTTTCATCAAAAACATGATGGTGAAAACCGCACATCGATATCTGTTACCGTTTCGGAGTTACGGGGTGTTTCAAACAAATCGCTGTAACTTTTTTGCTATGGAAAATTTTGTATTTTGATGAAAACATTTCCAAAGCACCTTTTTAGGTAGAATTTAATGGTTTAAGTATAATTTTTTTAAAATTAATAATTTAAGAATTATTAACAGAAAATTTGATTTTTTATATGGGACACTCTGTATATTTTTAATTTATTGAAAATAATTTAAAATTACCTTTCCAAAAATATACCACACTTGATATTTTGCTCGATTCCTCTTCGAGATATAGAGTATATAAAAATTCGCCCGCTTTCAATAAGTAGGCTTTGAACAGCACCAGCTGTAATGCAAAAAAATTCTAGCTGTAAGCATCAATTAAAACGAAAATAATATTTGCTATGAGACATGCAGAATTT